GAAAGAAAGAAAGAAAGAAAGAAAGAAAGAAAGAAAGAAAGAAAGAAAGAAAGAAACAGAAAGAAAGAAAGCTAATAAAAATGGATATAAATGTGATCACAATGTAAAATTAGAGAGGTCTTGGCACTGAAATCCTACCTGAGGTGAAGCTGTTAGGCTCAAAGGGATGCTGACCCATGAAGGAACTACTGTTACATTCACAGCATAAAGAGGACCCCTCCAGCCCAGGGTCAAACTCATGATGGTTGCCAATGGAGGGCCAGAGTGAGCCTAGGCAAATTTTGGTGATCTCTTACATTTTATTTTGGCTTAGTGAATTGTCTAACTTGTTAGTGTTAATTTAGTCAGTATGTTTTATCTGGTTTGAAAAACATAACCAAAAAGCCAGAAGTGGCTCAAGTGGTAGAGTGCTAGCCTTGAGCTGAAGAGCTGAGGGACAGCGTCCAGGCCCAGAGTTCAGGCCCCACGACTGGACCAAAAAAATAAAAATTAAAAAATTTTAAAAAAATTAAAAAAAATCTTTAAAATCCACACAAAAAAAGTTCAAAGCCAGCCCAGGCAAGGAAGTCCATGAGACTCTTATCTCCATTTAACCACCAGAAAACCAGAAGTATCGCTGTGGCTCAAGTGGTAGGGCACTCTCCTTGAGCTGAAGAACTTAAGAACAGTACCCAGGCCGAATTCAAGCCCCACAACTGACAAAAAAAAGAAAAAAAATCTCACAAAAAATTTTATATTTTACAATTCACCCTGAACATTAAGGCTGCAAGAATAACACAATATGCTGGGAGTGTGGCTTAGTGGTAGAGTGCTTGCCTAGCATGCATGAAGCCCTGGGTTCAATTCCTCAGTACAACATAAACAGAAAAAGCTGGAAGTACTGCAGGGGTTCAAATGGTAGAATGCTAGCCTTGAGCAAAAGAAGCTCAGGGACAGTGCCCAGGCTCTGAGTTCAAGCCCCAGGACTGGCAAAAAAAAAAAAGGAAAGAAAGAAAAAAGAATAACACAACATTTCCTAAATCCCAATATTTTATGGCTGTACCCAAAAAGGAAAAAGAAAATAAAAACAACTAAAGTATTAGCTAAGGGCTAATATTACCCAAACAGTCAAAAATGAAATAAAATATCCAAATTATGAGCATTAATTTACCACAATTATGAACTTCAGTTGCCAGTTATTGGCAATGATTGCATGTCTGCAGGGTAAGTGCCCCCATGGCTGGTGGTAAAAGCCACCGTGTAGACCAGCATCTCTCCCCCATGTGCCTCCGTCGCTGCCAGCTCCTCCCCCCCCTCCCCCCCCCCCCCCCCCCCCCCCCGCATTATCCCACATAGGCCAGGGAGCTTTCTTTTTTTGGTTGGTCTTAAAGTCAGCCTGGGCACTGTCCCGCAGCTCTTCAGCTCAAGGCGAGTGCTCTACCATCTGAGCCATAGTACCACTTCCAGCTTTTTCTGCTTATGTGGTGCTAAGGAATGGAACTCAAGGCCTCATGCATGCAAGACAAGCATTCTACCACTGAGCCACCTTCTCAACCCTGGCCAGGGACTGTGGTCTGACTCAGCTCTTCCTGTCTCAGCCCAGGTCTCTGAATTTCAGCACTGTAGATGTTTGGACCAGATAACTCTTGGTACAGTGGGATATAATATGTACTTCAGAATGTTTAGGCATAGCTAGACACTGGTGGCTCATGCCTATAATCCTAACTACACAGGAGGTTGAGATCTGAGGATAGTGGTTCAAAGCCAGCAGAGACAGGAAAGTCCTTGAGACTCTTATCTCCAATCAAGCACCAGAAAACCAGAAGTGGCACTGTGGCTCAAAGTGGTAGAGCTCTCTCCTTGAGCAAAAGAGCTCAGGGACAGTACCCAGGCCCAGAGTTCAAGCCCCACAGCTAACAAAAACAAACAAACATGGCTGGGAATGTGGCTTAGTGGAGAGTACTTGCTTAACATGCATGAAGCCCTGGGTTCGATTCCTCAGTACCACATAAACAGAAAAAGCTGGAAGTGGTGCTGTGGCTCAAGTGGTTAAGAGTGCTAGCCTTGAGTTCAAGCTTCAGGACTGGCAAAAAACAAAGCAACAACAAGAAGGAAAAAAACCAGAATGTTTTGGCAGTACCCTGACCTCCCAGTCATGACCTTTACAAAACAATCTCAGCTGTCCCTGAGGAGGTGAACTTGCCCTAGCTTGACCCCTTCCAGTATTCTCTACAGACTTGGGTTCTGACCTCCTGTGACCTCCTCCTGGCTATGGCTTCCCCTACTTCTTTTCTAGACCTACCACTCAGCCCCACCCCCACCTCATCTTCCCCCCCCCCCCGCACCCCGTGGGGCCTGGTGAGGAGGTGGGGAGGAAGACAATGGTCATCTCTGATGGCTAAGCAGCAGACCCTGATTAATGCTGGGGCTGGAGAGGACAGAGGTTAATGTGATTCCCACCCTGGCACCAATCCCTGCAAGGCCTGAGGAGATCTCAGTCTGGAAATTTGGAATGTGGAGACGGAGGGTGCTAGCTAGGACTGGCCCTTCCCCTCCAGTCATGTCTGGCCACCCTGGCTGCTGCCCTATGGAAACCAGGGCTGTAACACAAGCATCCATCCATGCAGATACAAAGCCAAAAAGGTGCTTGTGTCCTTGGTAGCATAGGCAGGTCCACAGAAACAGCTGGGGTGTGGTGAATCCTCACTTTGGCCAAAGAGTAGACTTGGCACTTGAGTGGTCTCCATCGTGCAGCATAGGTTCCAGAAGAAATGGTAGCCCTTGGGCCACTGGAGCTTGAACCTGAGTGTATACTGTGGTCACTTAGGCTTGCCAAGCAGCTTCTGATTCAGGAGGTTTGGGTAGTTTTAAGAACTGTGATTCTGCCGGGCACCAATGGCTCATGCCTGTTATCCTGGTGACTTGGGAAGCTGAGATCTGAAGATCCTAGTTTGAAACCAGCCCAAGCAAGAGAATCTATGAGCCTCTTGATCTCCAATTAACCCAAAAAGTTGTAAGCAGAGGTGTGCTAGAGCACCAGTCTTGGCCATAAAAGTTAAGGGACAAGGGGCTGGGAAGGTGGCTCAGTGGTAGAGCGCTTGCTTTGCACGCATGAAGCCCTGGGTTCGATTCCTCAGCACCACATAAGCAAAAAGAAAGCCGGAAGTGGAGCTGTGGCTCGAGTGGTAGAGTTCTAGCCTTGAGCTGAAGAGCTGAGGGACAGCGCCCAAGCCCAGAGTTCAGGACCCACGACCGGACCCCAAAAAAAAAAAAAGTTAAGGGACAATGCCCAGGCTCTGAGTTCAAGCTCCAGTACAGGCATACTCTCCACCCCACCCCCTAAGCCCCGCCCCCCCCAAAACAACCATGTATTTCTGGCAAGTTCTTGTTGTTACCACTCTGCTGTTGCTGCTGCTAGTCTGGGGACCAATGAGAAGTGGTTTTAGGTGGTCAGGAGTCTTCCAGCTGACTAGGTACCATTAAAGGATGGTTCCGGGTGGGATTGAAGCTGTGGCAGTCACACCTCCTCTGAGAAGCAGCCCTCCCCACATCTGGGACTCCCCAGGGTGTCTTCTTGGACAAGAATGTAAGCAGAAGATCCAGGGTTCAAAGGACAGGAGAAGCTGGGCGGTGGTGGCTCACGCCTTAATCCTAGCAACTCAGGAGGCTGAGATCTGAGGATTGCTGTTCAAAGCTAGCCCAAGCAGGAAAGTCCATGAGACTCTTATCTCCAAACAAACCACTCAGAGGACTGGAAGTGGCTTAGTGGCTCAAGTGGTAGAGGGCTTGCTTTGAGCTGAAGAGCTGAGGGACAGCGTTCAGGCCCAGAGTTAAAGCCCCATGACCACCACCAACAAAAAAAGACAGGAGAATAGGTGTGTGTGTTGGAGGGGGTGGCAGGGCAGACCAGCCCAACTGACTAGCTGTAACCTTGCAGGTCCTGGCTTGGTTCGAGGAGGGCGAGGAGACCACGACAGCCTTTGTGGAACCTCTGGTCATCATGCTGATCCTTGTGGCCAATGCAATTGTGGGAGTCTGGCAGGTGGGAGGCGCTGGGCCCTGGGGTCCCAAGATCAGATTTCCGTCTGTAGGCCTTTCTGCTTCCATCTCCACTCCAGGCCCCATGGGTATTCCCGAGGGGAAGACCTGCCAACGCACAGGTCACCTGCCTACTTTCTTCTGCAGGAGCGTAATGCTGAGAGTGCCATTGAAGCCCTGAAGGAGTATGAGCCTGAGATGGGCAAGGTGATCCGGTCAGATCGCAAGGGTGTGCAGCGAGTCCGTGCCCGGGACATCGTCCCAGGAGACATTGTGGAAGTGGCAGGTAGGTAAAACTCTTCTTTGTTCCTTATAACACTGAGGAGCCCGGTGTCCCTCATTTTCCATCTTTCCAGCTGTGGTGGCTGCTGGATCCCTCCAGAGCTCTTTGGCCAAAGCCTACCCAAGGGACCCTACCTGAACCTTGGGAGCTTCCTGTCTTCCTGGGGTTTAGAATCCAAAACACATCCTCAGCTGAGCCATTCTCCCAATACAGTGGGAGACAAAGTGCCTGCGGACCTGCGTCTCATTGAGATCAAGTCTACGGCACTGCGAGTAGACCAGTCCATCCTCACAGGTGAGGCCCAGGGGCCAGGGTGGGGCCTGGGCATGGGTTTGCCTTCAAGGGTGACTCAAATAACATCCAGTTCCGTGGCCAGGTGAATCTGTGTCTGTGACCAAGCACACGGATGCCATCCCAGATCCCAGAGCCGTGAACCAGGACAAGAAGAACATGCTGTTTTCTGTGAGTCCTAGGATGCCCACAGCCTCAATGCTAAGGATAAAAATAATGTTAATAGGTCTGGGAATGTGGCTTAGTGGTAGAGTACTTGACTAGCATGTGTGAAGTCCCGAGTTCCTCAGCACCACATAAACAGAAAAAGCCAGAAGTGACGCAGTGACTCAAGTGATAGAGTGCTAGCCTTGAGCAAAAAGAAGCTCAGGGACAGACAGTGCCCAGGCCCTGAGTTCAAGCTCAAGGACTGCCAAAAATAAAACAAAAATGTTAAAATTAATCACACTCCTGTAGGAAAGGAGTTCATTGGTTACTAGAAATACTGCAAATGGATAATAATCATAATAGTTTGTTTTATGGAGGCCTGGGTGTCTGGCACTGTCTAAGCCCACACATAATAGTTTATTTAATCCTTACAACAGACCTTTGAAATAAGGTTATCTGTATTATTTACTTATCTGTATTTTCCAGCTAGGAAACAGATTCAGAGAGGTTAAGTAAATTGCCCAAGGTCCCACAACCAGTTGAGATGTGAACTTAAACACCCAGGGCCCAGAGCTTTCTCTTTTCCTGTGAGGATAGCCTGCCTTAACCTGGAGAGAGGCAAAACTGTCATTAGTAACTCAGCTGAAAATCCTCCAGAGTAAGGAAAACCACAAAGTGGTGAAGAGGTAGGGAATAGCTCACTGGTGGAGTTATTGCTGAGCATTTGTGAGGCTCTAGGTTCAATACCCAGCACTGAAAAACAGAAGAAAGGATGGTGTTGGTCCATTTCTCAAATGGGAAGGCTGAGTCCATGTCATATGTCCCTGGTTCTATTGGGAGAGAATGGCTTTAACTGCTAGCAGAGAGGTGCCCTGTGGTCTCAGAGAGAGTCAGGAGGTAGACTCACAGCTGCCCATGGGCAGCCTGGAGCCAAATGTGGAACACCCGATGCCCCCATGGAAGGGCTAGGCCAGCTGGGCAGTGGCCTATGGTACCAGGGGTAAGAGCGAGAAAGCATGCCTGGAAATGAATGCTCATGCAGAGCTGAGATCCCTGTCCCCCACACCCCCCAGCTGCTTTGGGACAGGGAGAGGGGCACTAAGGTTTTTCTGAGGAGGGCAGTACAGCTGGCCTTAGCTGAAGGGTGTAGAGGGCACAGCTCCCTTGCTCAAGGTGGAAGAGCCGTTTCTACCCGTACCTGCCCACTTGCTCCCTGCATGGCGCACTCATCTGAGGGGGCTAGTGGGAACATGAGCCTCTGTTGGGCCTTCTGTTCCATGAGAAGACACTGGGGCAGAGATCTGCCTAGCTCCTGCACCAGGACCTGGGGAGAATGAGGATGCCTAGGCTCAGGTTTCTGGATTTAGAAAACATTTATGGACTGTTTACCTGGGATCATTGCCAGACACACTTTTGTGTGGCCGTGGCGGTTGAATCTCATTTTGGTGGATTTGAACAGTGGGTCCCTGAACTATACCAATGGATTACATTGTCAGTGTCACCCCTGAAGCCTCCTGTATCAAGCTCTGTGAGGCACTGAGGACATGGTGATGAACCACGTCCTGTGGAGAGCCCAAGGAATGCCTGGTTTCTAAGCCTGGAAACACCATCCACATAGAGAAGAAGGCTCAATGACAAGAGCCTGCACCAGCCCAAAGGGATTGGGGGTTCTGGCCTGGCTAGAGGCTAAGCAGCCCTTCTCTTGTCCTCTCTTTGGTCAGGGCACCAATATCTCATCGGGCAAGGCTGTGGGTGTGGCAGTGGCCACAGGCCTGCATACAGAGCTGGGCAAGATCCGGAGCCAGATGGCGGCTGTGGAGCCCGAAAGGACACCCTTGCAGCGCAAGCTGGATGAGTTTGGGCGGCAGCTGTCCCATGTCATCTCTGTGATTTGTGTGGCAGTGTGGGTCATCAACATTGGCCACTTTGCTGATCCAGCCCATGGCGGCTCCTGGCTCCGTGGCGCTATCTACTACTTCAAGATTGCCGTGGCCTTGGCTGTGGCTGCCATCCCCGAGGGCCTCCCGGCGGTCATCACAACATGCCTGGCACTTGGCACACGGCGCATGGCACACAAGAATGCCATCGTGCGGAGCCTGCCCTCCGTGGAGACCCTAGGCTGTACCTCGGTCATCTGCTCTGACAAGACAGGCACACTCACCACCAATCAGATGTCTGTCTGCAGGGTGAGTGAGTAGCCGCAGCCAGCCTGGGGTTCCTTGAGCTGTGTGTTGCTGGCCTGCCTCCCCAGCCTCCTGTTTGGTGAGAAATGGAGAGGAGCTGTGGGCTGGCTCCAGGGAAGGATGGGGAGCACAGACTTGTGTTCGTGGCACAAAGCAGGCAACAGTGTCTGGCTTCGTGTATGTCCCTAGAGCTTGTGTGTCACTGTGGGGTCCCCAGTCTCCCCATCAAATGCCTGGCTGCTAAGTGAGCCCTGCCAGGTAACCTTAAAGGATCCCAGAGAGGGTCAAGTGCAGGCCTTAGGTCTGAGCCAAGTGGGTCCAGACAATTCCAACCTGTGTCATCCTGACTGTAAACAGTGCCCGTCACTAGATATGCCAGCTCCAGTGATCCGGGAAGGGCTAGGGCAGGAATTATTCATTCTCTGGCACTACTCTCCACATGTTCCAGGGATTCTGGCAGAGATTCCATGGGGCAGAGGCTCCTCTGTGACTCAGTAGGGAGTGGTTGGAGGGAGGTGAGACCTGTGGTTGCTTCCTGCTGGGCTCCCCATTACTACTCTTCTAGTCTTCACATAGTCCTCAGGAACCAGCCTCTTAAGATCCTTAGATCTTGGGGCTGGGAAGGTGGCTCAGTGGTAGAGCGCTTGCCTTGAGCTGAAGAGCTGAGGGACAGCGTCCAGGTATAGAGTTCAGGCCCCACAACCAGACCCAAAAAAAAAAAAAAAAAAAAGATCCTTAGATCTTAAGCCCATTGGAGCTCATCAGAGGCTGAGGTAGAGGAAGAGTACCGGTGAGTTTCACTGCCCAGTAACCTCTGACCTGCTGACATTTGTAGGATGTCATTTGACATCCTTGACAGAAGTCAGGCTTTGGGGAGCACAGGGGAGGGGTTTCAGGGTGCAGCATGCCAGACTGCTGCCTAGAAGCAGAGAGATGAGTCAGAAGGAACAGCGTGGAGCACCTACTGGGTGCTAGGTTGGCCACTGGGAAAATGTACAGTAAGGAATTTTCCAGAAAGCAAGAACCATCTCCCTTGCAGAGCTGGAGACAAACAAGACATGGACTGCCTAGGAGGGAAGCGCCCGTGACCGGGGTACACAGGCAGGAGCTGGGTGGCCCAGCAGCCTGAAGGGCAGCGGTTACTTGCTGAGGGGAAGATGTGTGCCTTGGTTTCCATAAAGGCCAAGAATCCATCCCCTTGAAAAGAAGGGCCAGTTGGATCTGAGCCCACTTTCTGCCTGGGTCACCAGTGGAGGAATGGATTTAGGAACTTAGCTGGCATTACACAGTGACACTGGCAAGGACTCCTAACCAGCTTTGGCCTCCCCCAACTCTCAAGTGCTCCCAGATGCTGAAGAGTAGAGCCCTCAGGAGTCCAGAGGTGTGGCCATTCCAGGGGTGGACACAACTGGGCCAAACAAAGTCCCTTACTCACCAAGACCCTGTGCTAAGGACTTCCCTTCAGGGACAGAGGCTCTTGTGAGGGGACACATCAAGGACCCTGTCTTCTCTGGCTTTCTTCAAGAAGGGAGACTACTGCTCCTGAGTTTACCCTTGTCCCCACAGATGTTTGTGGTGGCAGAAGTGGACCCGGGCTCCTGCCGTCTGCATGAATTCACCATCTCGGGTACCACATATACCCCAGAAGGCGAAGTGTGAGTAGTAGAGGGGGGAGCCTCTGGCAACCTGCCTACAAGGGCCAGTACAGAGGGGTGAGTGGGTGAGGTTCCTGGGACATGGCCTGTTCTGACCTCCTGCTTCCCAGGCGGCAAGGGGAGCAGCTTGTACACTGTGGGCAGTTTGACGGGCTGGTAGAGCTGGCAACCATCTGTGCCCTGTGCAACGATTCAGCCCTGGACTACAACGAGGTAGGCCCCCATTCCTCTCATGGCCTCCCTGACATCCAAGTGCTGTCCAGGGACAGACCCTTCACCCAGGAGTCAGTGGCTCATTCCTGTAATACTTGTTACTCAGGAGGCTGAGATCTGAGAATTCCAGTTCAAGGCTAGCCACAGCAGGAAAGTCCATGAGACTCTTATCTCCATTAACCAGCAAAAAAACTGGAAATGGCTCAACTAGTAGAGCATCAGCCTTGAGCAAAAAAAGCTAAGGAACAGTGTCCGGGCCCTGACTTCAAGCCTCAGTACTGGCACTAAAACAACTAACTACATACATATATAACTGTGCTACATTTCCATCTTACTCAGATTTGGCTCTGGAACTCTACCCCTATTGCAGGGGCTGAAGTGCCAGTGGATCATGGGGAAGAGATCAGGTAGTGGCCAGGACAGAGCAGTACATGAAGCAGCAGCCACAGCCCATGAGAGACCCAGTCTACAAAAGCCAGTGGTGTCCAGTACTGAAGGCCATTCATGTGGCTGGGGCAGGGAAACGTAGAAGGTGGGAGGGTACTCGTGCCTGTGGAGCAACCTTAGCCAGAGCCATGCTACACTGAGGGCACGTAGAGTACCACCAAAGGGTTTTGAGCCAGGAGAGGAATATAGTCACATTTGCATTTATAACAGTCTCTTCAAAGCCAGGCACTGGTGGCTCATGCCTGTAATCCTAACTACTCAGGAGATGAGATCTGAGGATTGCAATTTGGAGCCAGCCTTGGCAGGAAAGTTTGTGAAACTCTTATCTCCAGTTAACTACCAAAAAGCCAGAAGTAGAGCTGTGGCTCAAGTTGTAGAATGCCAGTCTTGAGCCTTAAGAGGAAAAGCTAAAGTACAGCTCCTAGGTCCTGAGTTCAAGCCCCAGTACTGGTACAAATAAAAAAGAGGAAAGAAGAAAGGAAGGAAAGAAGGAGAGGGAGGAAGGAAGGAAGAAAGAAAGAAGGGAGGAAGAAAGAAAGAAAGCACCTCCTAGAGCCCTGTGCAAACAACAGCATAAACAGTATGCTAGGGACTAGGAAGCCCTGAATGGTTCTTTGGTCTCAAGAGATGCCAGCTAAACCCTGCTTGGAACTTCAGCTAAACCCTGCTTGGAACTTCAGGAGAGGCAAGGCCAGAGATAGATTTAAGAGTTGAAAATTCTGAGACTTGGTAAAATATTTAAGTAAAAGAGAGGAAGAAGTCAGAGAATCCCTTGTTGTACCCCAAGCGGTCCCCAGTGAACAAGCTCCTAGAGGCAAAATTGGACATATTGCTCTAAATCTCAAGAGGAAGGTCTTGCGAGGCCAGGCAACTGCTGTTGTAAGCAGACCCCAGGAAGAGGAGTCGGAGCTTCTAGAGACTCTGGGAGAGAAGGTGAGGGTAAGGAGTGAGGCAGGCAGCAGGTTAGCTTCTATATCTGGTGAAGGAGCTGAGCGGCACAGAGAAGGGAGAGCAGGAGGGGTGTGTGGTTACTGCTGCCAAGGCCTGAGAGGCTGAGGATTACTGCCAGATACCATCTAACCCAGATCTGCAGCAAGGAGGCTCCACACAGGGGCAGAGTGGTATAAGAAGAAGGTGAGGCTGGGGAAGTCCCAAGCGGGCAGCAAGCCCCTCACTCCCTGTGCACCGGGACTCCCCAGGCCAAAGGTGTGTATGAGAAGGTGGGAGAGGCCACGGAGACAGCCCTGACTTGCCTGGTGGAGAAGATGAACGTGTTCAACACTGACCTGGACACCCTGTCCCAAGTGGAGCGAGCTGGCGCCTGCAATGCGGTGAGCAGGATGGGGGTCCGGGCCTGGGCTGTACAGCTGGGGTTCCCAGGACTTCTGGAGATAGGAGAGAGGAAAGTACCATGTTAGGAGGCTTCTGGGAGGAGGAAGGACCTCACATATGTGAAATTCAGCTACAGAGCAGAGAGAGGGACATATGCAAAGTAGACAAGGGCACACAGAGTTGGGGGGTGCCTGTGAGCTTTGGAAATGGCAACTGTGGGGGAGGAAGGAGGGGTCCTTGAACTCTGGGGTCAGAGGAGTGCAGATATATGAGGGTCTTTTTGGGGTCTGTGAGAGGCAGGTCAGCATCCCTGGCTCTGCCCCTCATGCCCTGACCTGCGTGAACCCACAGGTAATCAAGCAGCTCATGAGGAAGGAGTTCACCCTCGAGTTCTCACGGGACCGGAAGTCCATGTCTGTCTACTGCACACCTACCCGTCCCAGCCCCAAGAGCCAGGGCAGCAAGATGTTCGTGAAGGTGGGGCCTGGCCATGGGGACTGGGACTCCAGGGGTAACAAGGGGGACTAGCTCCAGTTCTTGGAGACACCAGGCACTGAACTGCCACCCATTGTGCAAGTGAGAGTCTAAAGTAGGGGTGGCCAGTGCCCTGCAGGGCCCTGGGAGCAGCACCTAGATATGGTGGGGATAAGGTAGGACCAAGGGACCCAGCCAGCCCTTGACCCTGGCCCAGGCTGAGGACTACCACCTCACCACATGACCTTGAAGTCACCCAGGATTTCCATTTCATGGGGCTGAAATCCTAATGGCACCAGGTGGGAAGAAGCATAGAGAATGTGAACCCACCCCACCCCTTGGGGTCATCTGTGTGTCTCTGTGGGCTTCAATCTCCCCATGTGGACAGTGCTGTTGGGCTAGAAGCTCCCAGAAGCCCTTTTTCCCTCTATGGTAGGATCCGTGTGGGTGCTCTTCCCTTTGGTGATTGGCTTTTCAGAAACTGAATCCCAGGGAGGGAAAGGAGCCTCCACTGGAGCCTCCACCTGCAAGGCCACCTGTAGTTGCCTCCAAACCTGGTGCTTCTGCCCCAAGCTGTGTTGGTTTCAACCCCTTGTGAGAGGAAAGGGTTTTCACACCAGGAGCACTTCCTGCTTTGCCAGTGTGGAGTAGACTTTAGGGAGTTGGAGAAGCCACTGAAGGGGCATCCAAGGGACGAGTTCTGGGCCTGGGTGAGGTCAAGGCAAGACCCCAGTGGTGCTAAGGAACCTTGTCACCCTTTCACAAAGGCCAACCTTTTCAAGCCACACCCACCACACCTCCCTCCCTAGTGACCACTGAGCCCCCCACCCCCCAACTGCATCCTAATGGCAGTGCCAGGCAGAGGTGCAAGGATGCCAGTCTCCCCCCCACCCCCACCTCCAGATACTGCATGGCCATGTTCCCCATAGGTTTGGCTTTCTCACAAGGAAGCCTGTTTGGATCCCACCCTGAGCCTCTGATAAGTGGATTCTGGGCCCTGCCTCCATGTATGCCCTTGGGTGTCTTAGGCAGGAGGAAGCTCCCTGTGGTGGAGTTGCCTCACTCCTTCTCTCTCCCCTCTGCAGGGGGCTCCCGAGAGTGTGATTGAGCGCTGCCGCTCAGTTCGAGTGGGGAGCCGCACAGTACCCCTGAATGCCACCTCCAGGGAGCAGATCCTGGCAAAGATTCGGGACTGGGGTTCAGGCTCAGACACCCTGCGCTGCCTGGCGCTGGCAACTCGGGATGAGCCCCCCAGGAAGGAGGACATGCAGCTGGATGACAGCAGCAAGTTTGTGCAGTATGAGGTGGGTGCTGGGAGCTGAGTTCTCCTAGAGGAGGCTGACCAGGCAGCTGGTCAGGCCTGAGCTCAGGCCCAGCATACGTCTGTCCTCTCCACAGACAGACTTGACCTTCGTGGGCTGTGTGGGTATGCTGGACCCACCCCGGCCGGAGGTGGCTGCTTGTATTGCACGCTGCCGCCAGGCTGGTATCCGAGTGGTCATGATCACAGGGGACAATAAAGGTACAGCTGTGGCCATCTGCCGCCGACTTGGCATCTTCGGGGACATGGAGGACGTGTTAGGCAAGGCCTACACAGGCCGTGAGTTTGATGACCTCAGCCCTGAGCAGCAGCGTCACGCCTGCTGCACAGCCTGCTGCTTTGCTCGCGTGGAGCCCACTCACAAGTCCCGCATTGTGGAGAACCTGCAGTCTTTCGATGAGGTCACAGCCATGGTGAGGCCTGGGCTTGGAGCTGGGGAGGGCTTGACATGATTATGACTGGAAACTGGTTGTTTTGATCCACCCACCACCCGCTACCCTCCCCCCGCCTTTTTTTCTTTTTGTCAGTTGTGGGCCTGGGCACTGTCTCTCAGCTCTTCAGCTCAAGGTTAGCCCTCTACCACTTGAGCCACAGCCCCACTTCCAGCTTTTTCTGCTTATGTGATGCTGAAGAATCAAACCCAGGGCCTCATGCATGCAAGGCAAGCACTCTACCACTGAGCCACCTTCCCAGCCCGACCCCCTTTTTTTTTGTTTTTGTATTGGTGCTGGAGTTTGAACTTGGGTACCGGATGCTGTCTCTTAGCTTTTTCACTCAAGGCTGGTATTCTCCCACTTGAGCAACAGCTCTATTTCCAGCTTTTTGCTGGTTAATCAAAGCGTCTCAGGGACTTTCTTAAACCATGGCTGGCTTTGAACCATGATTCTTAGATCTTGGCCTCCTGAGTAGTTAGGGTTACCAGTACGAGCCCCTGGACTCTTGGCTTGTAAGCTGGTAGTTAACTTTATCTTTGGGCTCTGTGCTGACTTTGACCTCCATCTGAACTAGATTATTTTGCTTTGAGCTGGACACTGATAGGGATTCCATCCTTGAACTGGACTTCCAACTCATTCTGGATACTTACCTTCACCATCTTCACCTTAATTTTGTTTGGCCTCAGTTTTTATCTGGCCTCCAATCTTAACCTTGACAGCAACTCAGACTTTTAAGAGTACCCTTGACTTGGCCTCTGATTTGGGCATGGCCTCTACCTTAATCTGTTTTTAAAATTAATTTGTTAGTAGTAGTAGTAGTAATACTGTAACTTGAACCTGGTGGCTCCTTGGCCACCAGGCAAGCCTTCTGTCACTTGAACCACACCTCCAGCTCTTTAATTTTTTTTTCTTTTAGTTGGTCATAGAGCTTGAGCTCAGGGCCTGAGTGCTGTCCTTAAGCTTTTTTGCTCAAAGCTAGCACTCTAGCTCTACTAGAGCTCTACCACAGCTCCACTTCTGGCTTTTTTTTTTTAATCATTAAGTGGTGATAAGAGTCTCATGGACTTTCCTCTCTGAGCTGGCTTTAAACCAAAATCCTCAGATCTCAGCTTCCTGAGTAGCTAGGATTACAGGTGTGAGTCACAGGCCCCCAGCCATAAGCTTGCTTATTTATTTATTTATTTATTTATTTTTGATGTATGAGGTTTGAACTCAGGACCTTACATTTACTCTGCCAGTTGAGCCACATTCCTAGCTCCTTTTTGCTTTAGTTATATTTTTTGGATAGCATCTTGAGTTTCACCTAGGGTGGCCCTTGGATCTCAATCCCCCTACATATGACTTCTCACATAACTGGGAGCCTAGTTGCAAGCCACCATGCCTACCTTCTTAATTGAGATGGTGGGCTAGGAAGGTGGCTCAGTGGTAGTAAAGTGCTTGCCTTGCATGAGGCTCTGGATTCAATTCCTCAGCACCACATACACAGAAAAAGCCAGAAGTGGGGCTGAGGCTCAAGTGGTAGAGCGTGAGCCTTGAGCTGAAGAGCTGAGGGACAGCGCTCAGGCCCAGAGTTCAAGCCCCACAACCAACCAAAAAAAAAAATTGAGATGGTACCTTGCTTTTTGCTTGGGCTGACATTGAACCACCATCCTCCCTTACGACTTGGGTGCACTGAACTTGAGAGAGACAGAGCAGTGGAAGGAAAATGTCTCAGGTGTGTCCTGTCTGACTACAGACTGGTGATGGGGTGAATGATGCCCCGGCCCTGAAGAAAGCAGAGATTGGCATCGCCATGGGCTCAGGCACAGCCGTGGCCAAGTCAGCCGCAGAGATGGTGCTGTCAGATGACAACTTTGCCTCCATCGTGGCTGCAGTGGAAGAGGGTCGCGCCATCTATAGCAACATGAAGCAGTTCATACGCTACCTCATCTCCTCCAATGTTGGCGAGGTTGTCTGGTGAGGCCCCGGAGCCCCCTCCTTGCCTTCTGTACCAGGCATCAACGTATCCATGCTTGCTAATCTATGAATATGGTCTGACCTGCCCCCTGCCATCCCCCACCCACCCCAGCATGCCTGGAAAGCCCCCTACACCCCTCACACCATGACCACCTCCCCACCTTAGGGACTCAGAAAAGCCAGATTCACCTTTGTGGAGGAGTGTGTCCGTGTGTATGTACTGTGCCCTCTTACACAGCTGGAGGCATAAATACAAGCAGGATGTGTGACAGAGTAACTCTGCACTTAATTCTGTGCACATGTTCCAAATGGCCGGGAAACGGTGAGTGTGCACGGATTTTTCTGCCTCTGCTCACTGAAGGACACAGAAGTTGTGATTGTCGGATTCTGATAGATGCAACATATACTGCATATATCTGATGTCTGTAGGATGTGTGTGTGTGTCTGTCTGTCTGTCTGTGTCTGTGTCTGCATCTGTGTCTGTGTCTGTTCCCTTAGCCCTACTAGGTTGAAAATTCAGAGTTAGCACTGGGGCAGGTAGGCTGGGCAGAAATAGGTGGTGCCCTGTTCACTCACCCTGGCTTGTACACACACACATACATGCATTCACGCGTGTACGTGTGTGCACCCCCCCTTGTTTGTGTATACTGTATGGCAGCAGCACCAACAGAGAGACAGCTGGAATTGAGACAAGGTAACCCCATCCTGGGCTGGGAAACATAGCCAGACCTCTGCCTGCAGGGGCTAAGCCCATGCCTCTGGTTTTAGCATCTTCCTCACAGCAATTCTGGGCCTGCCTGAAGCCCTGATCCCCGTGCAGCTGCTCTGGGTAAACCTGGTGACTGACGGCCTACCTGCCACAGCCCTGGGCTTCAACCCACCTGACCTGGACATCATGGAGAAGCCACCCAGGAGCCCCCGAGAGGCCCTCATCAGTGGCTGGCTCTTCTTCCGGTATTTAGCTATCGGAGGTGAGCGGGAGCCAGGTGTCAGTTACATTCACATGCTTTCTAAGGAGCTATGCCAGTTAAGTTTCAGACTGCAGACACTTCAACTCAGCCAGTGTTATGAAAGAAATGCTAGGGGCTCATGTAACTGAAAAGACTAGGCATACTTCAGGTATGGCTGGATCCAGGCCTCAAATAGTAGCACTATTCATATTTTGGCTCTGCCTTAGCTCCATTCTCAAGCAGGTGTCCCTCAGGGTGACAGAATGGCAGCTACATCTCCAGCCTGCATGCTCAGGCCCAAAATCAACAGAAGAGAGAGCCTTGTGACTTAAAGAGGGTTCTCTCATGGAATCCAAGAAATAGGGAGGGGAATTGGGCAGCAGAGAACCGCAGCTGGGTACTGTATCCAGTCTTCCTTCCCTCCTCCTGCAGTGTACGTGGGCCTGGCAACCGTGGCAGCCGCTACCTGGTGGTTCCTGTATGATGCTGAGGGGCCTCATCTCACCTTCTACCAGCTGGTGAGCACACGGTGGCCTGAGAGCATGTTGGGCAGCTCTGAGGTAGACTCACAGATTGGGTTGTGGGAGTTCCAGGGGAAGGTATCTAGACCCCAGGGCTAACTCACAGCTCCTTCTGTGACTGTCTACCACCCAAGGAGCAAGCTCAGCCAGCCCTGAAGAGCCTACGCTTTCTCTCGGCTGCTTCAATAGGGGACTAAAGGCCATAAGCAACCCAGAGGTTTCCCTTCACCAAGGAGCCCCCAGACACAGGGGTCTCAGAGGAGTGCGCATGGTGGAACTTGAGGCAGAGGGTTAACAGGTGTTTCTCAGGTACCAAACCAGAGGCCTCTGGCCAGGAGGTGCCTGCCCCAGCCTTGCTTCGGACAGCTGGGATACAAGTTCCGGAAGCTGTTACCGTCAGCCTGAGCCTTGGCTTAGAAGGTTTTATCCTTGAAGCAAGAGCTACAGGGCAGGAAGGTGGCTTTTCTTCTCTACAAAACAGCAGCCCAGATGCCACATTTCTTTTTTGTTTTTCTTTTACGGTTTGTCTTCTTAGCAGTACTGGGGTTTGAACTCAAGGCCTCACCCTTGCTCAACTTTGCTTGCTCAGTTGTTGCTCTACCACTTGAAGCACTGCTGTGGCCCTGCTTTTTTCTTTTTTCTTTTTTTTTGTATGTTTTTTTTATTGTAAAAATACTACACAGAGGGGTTACAGTTACATAAGCAAGGTAATGAGTACATTTCCTAACGAGCATTGTTGCCTCCTCCTTTGTTTTCCCCCTACCATCTCTTTGCTTTTTTTTTTTTTTTTGGTCAGTTGTGGGGCTTGAACTCTGGGCCTGGGCACTGTCCCTCAGCTCCTCAGCTCAAGGCTAGTGCTCTACCACTTGAGCCACAGTGCCACTTCCAGTTTTCTGAGTGGTTGATTGGAGATAAGAGTCTCACGGACTTTCCTGCTTGGGCTGGCATTGAATGGCAATCCTCAGATCTCAGCCTCCTGAGTAGCTAGGATTACAGGCCTAAGCCACTGGTGCCCAGCTTTGCTGGTTATTTTGAAGATAGAATCTAGCATAGTTTTCTCCCCAGGCAGCATTGAACCATAGTCCTTCAGGTCTCAGCCTCCTGAGTGCCTAGGATTACAGGTGTGAGCCACATTCCTGGCTGTGGTGCAGAGTCAGCCTGGCCCCCATCCCAAGCATTGCCCATCCCTCCTGCCCCCTTCCCTGCAGAGCCACAGATCACCCTTGGGAATCTGCTCTCCTGGCCCATGTGGGACTCAGAAGCATCCCAGCCTGGAGCATGGGAACCGTGCCACTTCCATCTAGCTCTGTGGCTGCCACCATCCTATAGACAAAGGGCCCCTGACCTCTATCCTCCAGCTGCATACTTCCTCTGCAATGTCTCACAGGCAGAAGGCCCAGGCAAAGTCTGTTTCCCTTCCCTGTTTCCCTCCTCTTCCATGTCCTTGCAGTTCCATTGCTTACTGATCCACCCCACCCATTGCCAGTCAGCTGCACTTGCTTGGTCCCCTCTTTCTGGTGGCTCTGAGGTCATGTACCTTCTCACTTAGCCACCACTGTGTGCAGGGGCGCACCTTCCTGATGTTCGGGCAGATCCTAGGCAGGTAGTCTCTTCAAAGAACTGAATGTCACAGTGGGGAAGAAACCATGAAACAGACAGTTGCAGTTTTCCTTTCTTTCTTTTTTTTGGGGGGGGTCAGCCGTGAGCCTTGAACTCAGGGCCTGGGCACTGTCCCTGAGCCCTCTTTGCTCAAGGCTAATATTCTTTAACTTTGAGCTACAGCTCCACTTCCGGTTTTCTGGTGGTTAGTTGGAGAGGAGTCTCATGAGGACTTTCCTGCCCAGGCTGGCTTTGTACTGTGATCCTCAGATCTCAGTCTCCTGAGTAGCTAGGGTTACAGGCGTGAGCCATCCCAAGTGTAGCCATCTTAAGGTAGAACTTTTAGCTAGAGGTATTGGGTTTCAAGAGAAGTCTAGAGACCCAGGATTTGTAGAAGAAGCTACCAAAAAGGAGCAGAGTAGTTAAGGGCAGGGGGCATAAAATCTGGATCCTGGCTGCAGGATTCACACTGTAGTTCACTACCTGCTAGCTGTATGACTTTGGCTGAGCTGCTTGACCTCTCTGTGCCTTGATTTCTTTATCTATAAAATGGATAATAATGCTCTTATAGGGCTTTCAAGATGATTGCTACATTAGTGCTTGTAATACTGATGCTCAGTAAAAGCATATATGTGAAGTTAGTGAAACCCAAAAGGGAACCAGGCATTACATGCTTGTAATCCTAGCCCTGAGAGGCTAAGGCAAGAGGGAAGGATCATAAAGTTCAAGGCTAACCTGGGCTGTATAGTGAGCAATCACTCAAAAACAAACCAAACCAACAAACTAAAAATCTGAAGGCTGTGAAGCACAAGGAGAATCCTCAGCCAGGCAGGCAAGGGAAGAGGGGGCGAGCAGGCATCTCAGATGGGAATGGGATCCATCCCTCAGAGCTCGTGATATATCTAGGAGAGCAGAAGTGCCAGCCCTGAGCGCCTCTCAAACTGGGCCGGGGAGCAGAGGGAGGGGGGCACAAATGGGAGAGTCTCGCCAAGTACAGGAAGCCCTAAGTTCAAATCCAGCACCACTAAGAGAAAAAAGAATGATTGAGTGGGTGGGGCCACAGCACACAGAAGGATTTGGCTCTTGGTTACTGGGTAGAGGGAGCCAGGCTCCAAGGTAAGAACATTTTTCCCTTCTGTGTGATCAGCACCCAATACAAAGGGGTGCAGGGCTGGGAGATGGCTCAGTGTTAGCACCCCTATCTAGAGCAGACTGTGCAAGGTTCCAATGCCAGCTCCAGCACCAATGAGGGAAAAAAAAAAATCACACTTGCCTGAAAGTCTGGAGTGTCAGTTTGGGTTAAAAATCCCATGGTTTATTTAGAAAAGGTAAGATTCAAGCTGGGTATAGATGGCTCATGTCTATAATCCTAGCTACTCAGGAGGCTGAGATCTGAAGATTACAGTTCAAAGCCAGCCTGGGCAGAAGAGTCCATAGACTTCATTTTCAATTAGTCAGAAAATGATAGACTGGAAGTGTGGCTTATGTGGTAAAGTGCCAGCATGAGCAAGAAAGCTAAGAGAAAGTACTTGACACCCTAAGTTCTAGCCCAAGTACTAGCAAAAAAAAAAAAAAAGGCCAGGCATCTATCTGCTCACGCCTGTAATCCTAGCTACTCAAGAGGCTGAGATCTGAGGATGTCAGTTCAAAGCCAGCCCAGGCAGGAAAGTCTGTGAGACTTTTTTGGGGGGGTCTGGTCGTGGGGCCTGAACTCTGGGCCTGGGCTCTGTCCCTCAAGCTCTTCAGCTCGAGGCTAGCTAGCACCCTACCACTTGAGCCACAGTGCCACTTCTGGCTTCTTTTTTTTTTGCTTTTGTGGTGCTGAGGAATCGAACCCAGGGCCTCAGGCATGCAAGGCAAGCGCCCTACCACTGAGCCACCTTCCCAGCCCGTCTGTGAGACTCTTATCTCCAGTCAACCACCAGAAAACCGGAAGTGATGCTGCACCCACGGCAGAGGAAATGGTTGCTACTGCTCAGACAGCTTGTCAGCACACACACTACAAGTTCTCCTAGAGAATTATTTTCATAGCAGGCCTCTGGTTCTAAACCCTTACCTTTAGAGGTCTCCAAATTCACAGACCTTTAGACTCCCAGGACAGCCAGAATCTGAATGTCCTCAGCTGTTTTCACAGTCAATTCTGAGGAGCAAAAAGAAAACCTCCAGGGCTTCAAAGGCCATAGGGCTGGCTGATAGCTTCTCTTTTTTGTGTCCGTGTTGGTACTGGGCTTGAGCTCAGGGCCTTGTCCTCGGATTCAGCTTGCTTGCTCATGGCTGGTGTTCTATCACTTGAGCCGCTTGAGCAGTCCGGAATTCTGCTGGTTAATTGAAGATGTAGTCACAGGCTTCTGCTAGGCACTGGCTTAGAACTTCAGCCCCCTAGGTCTCAGCCTCCTGAAGATCTAGGATTGCAGGCAGGAGCCACTGGCGCCCAGCTCTGACAGCTTCCGTCCATCACCGGGGAGCTGTGTTTAGGCTAGGTCCCAGCTACTCGTCATCCATGTCGTAAGCAGGACATAGGGTGGTGACACTCAGTTGTTGGAGTAGGAAGGGAGGGAGGGAGGAAGACTGGAGCCTTGCTTAGTTACAAAGGAGAAGGTGTGCGTGGCCTTGATTTTTCTAGCCCACCCAGGTGAATTCCATGCAGGAAGGTTTTTATGGATAGATTTTCACTGGTCTGTCAATTATACTCAGACACCTCAGAGACCCAGGAAGTCAAAGCAAAATCTGGAGTCTCTCCCAGTCTCAGGACTTATTGGTGTCCTCCTTAATGCCAGCAGCTGTCCCTCTGTTTCCCCCCAGCCCCATCTGGTGGGGAGGGGGGAAGGGAAGGAACCCAGCTCTCCCAGCAGTGCCCTACAAGGCATCCTGTGCTGTGGCTACAAGCAGGAGTGGTGAGTTGCTTTCTTCTTGTCCCCTATGACTGTAGAGAAACTTCCTGAAGTGCTCTGAGGACAACCCACTCTTTGCTGGCATCGACTGTGAGGTCTTTGAGTCTCGCTTCCCTACAACCATGGCTCTATCTGTGTTGGTGACCATTGAAATGTGCAACGCCCTCAACAGGTGGGCCGGGCAGAGGGGCTCAGTGCCCAGGGTCAGAGTGTCCGGGATTGGGGCTGAGAGTCAGGGGGGCCAGAATTGGCGTCTAAGGGTGAGAAGAGACTGAGAGTCAGAGGGGGACAGTTGGAATCCAGGAGCAAAGGAGGCCAAGGTTGGGGTTTCAAAAAGTGGAGGGCCCAAGATTGGAGCTGAGAGACGAAGAAAAGGGATCTAGGCCCCAGAAGGCTGGACACGCTCAGGGAAGTGCTGAGACAGGGGCTCCCACACGGGCTCCCTGTCTCCCTGGACACCTCCTGAGCTGAGCCCTCTGTGTCCTCTGCAGTGTCTCTGAAAACCAGTCTCTCCTTCGGATGCCACCCTGGCTGAACCCCTGGCTCCTGGCAGCTGTGGCTGTGTCCATGGCTCTGCACTTCCTTATCCTGCTTGTGCCACCCCTGCCTGTGAGTTGCCCCTCATGCCTTCCTCTTCCTGCTCAGTCCCTGGGGTGACTGGAACCAAATGGCCCTCGTCTATGAGGTGCCCTGGTTGGGTGCGGGGCCCTTCTGGGCCCCTCTGCAGTGAGAGCTGCTTGGAGGACAGAGAGGTGAGCAGTCCACCCAGCTGCTGTCATCTGGATGGGTCTGTGCCTTCAGGAGCCCCTGACCAGACAGAGGTGGAGACCCCTTGCGGAGGGAATGTCCCGGGACTGGGGGGGCGGGGCGTGCAAGACCAGGACTTTCCTAGGGAAAAGGAACCCTCCTTCCCAATAAGAGGGATGGGACTTGGTTCTGTGGATGAAGGGAGGGATGGCACTTCAGCAGTGTGAACCCAGTGGGCAAAGGGCAGGGCCCTTGGGCATGTTCATAAAGAGTCCACAGTTGTCTGATGGCACCTGGGTAAACGGCGAGGGGCTGAGCCAACCAGGGCAGGGTACCCTTCGTTTCCTCAAGGCCCATCTGTGGGCTTTGTACAACATCATCTATGGGCCATGTGAAACTATCGGTATAGGTAGCCAGCTTTCAGGCAGTCAACAAGAAGAAGCATTTGAGGCGTATATAGGGCTAATCTATCAAAGTAACATTATTTTGTGGGCTGTATATGGTCCCTGGGCCAGATACTCCTTACCTTGGCCTTAACTGGATCCCTATCTCCGGTCAGCTTATCTTCCAGGTGACCCCGCTGAGTGGATACCAGTGGGGGGTGGTGCTGCAGATATCACTGCCTGTCATCCTGCTTGATGAGGCCTTCAAATACTTGTCCAGGAACCACGTGGATGGTGAGTAGCGTGCTCCTGTCAGCTCCTTCCATCTGCCTTTCCCGCCTGCTCTGAGCTCCTCCCTCCTCCCCCCGCAGCCCCCCACCACCATCTGCAATGGGAGAGCTGCTGTTGGAACACAAAGTAGAAGAAGTAAAAGGCTCCAGCATCTGATGGGGGAGGAGGTCTTGGGGTTTGCGGATCCTGACAGGGCTATAGTGGCACACTGCTCAGGCTGTGCTGCCTTGCTCTCCTCACCTGCTGCCACCCCCTCCCCTGACCCGCATTTGCCTGACCCCTGTGCATGGCCTGTTTCTAGGCATGCTCAGGACACTCACACCAGCCTGGAGCGAGTGGCTACTGACTACCTCCTAGGCCCCAGACTACATGGGGTTCAGTCTCCAGGTGTCTGTCGCCTTGGGATGGGAGTGACAGAGAGATTCTGCCTTGACCCAGAAGTGGCAGAGAGAATGGCAAGGGTCAGACGGAGATGGCTATGTGCAGAGCCTCAGACTTGACTGCTGGGCCAGGGAGGGGCCTGCGTTGGGCCAGGCAGTGGCTGAGGCCTGCTTGAGGCATCCAGGAAGTTGGGGGCCACTTCTGGCCGGAATGTGTCCTGTCTCAGGGAACAGGAGGAGGATATAAATAAATCACATGCCTTTCATTCCATTAGAGCCCCCATCCTCCACACTGCCTAACCAGCTGCTGGATTTTTTTTTTAAAATTGTATCATTCGACAAAGGATCCAAATGAGTTGCCTCTTCTCTCTGGAGAAGCTGGCTTTCCACAGGTCTGTGTTAAGTAGTGACCAAGAGGGGCAGGGGTCACTCAGACAGAGTGAGATGACTGTCATGGGCAGGGGGGTCACTCAGCCAGCCAGTGCAGGGTGGCCAGCAAAGGGCAGGGGGTCACTCAGCCAAAGCGGGGGTCACTTAGCCAAAGCAGGGTCTATTGCAGTTCTTGGACAGAGCTGAAATAGGCCATCACACACACAGGCACACACACACCATACTTGGTTCTTTTTGCTCACCTTGTGGGGACACCCCTGGTGAAAGGTCTAGGAGAAAATGAATCTGGTGCCAGAAACTGCAGCCACTAGGGCGAGGGCACGCCAGCGCTGGCTGGAGCATGGAGGAGACACGGTGGCCAGCTCCAACATACTCACCTGCCCCACCAAGTCCTCCTAGTAACATGGGCAGCCAAGTGGTGTCTTTGTCTTTCTCAAGAGAGATTCCTAATGGCCTAACAGCCAAAGAATTCCACACGCTTCATTGAAAAAAATTAAAAGTGAAAGAATTCTGCCCCTGGCTAAAATTTCTCCATTCACAGGAAAGCCCTACGTTGTTTATTGCTGTTCAGCAGTGGCTGCTGAGCTCAGAGGATCACTGGAGTGAGGAAGGAGAGAGTAGAGGTTGGGGTAGCTTAGAAGGGCTGCCAGGCTAGTGGTCAGAGTAGTTTCTAGACGATTCAGGGTTACAGTGAAGGTTTGACAGGACTGAACCTGACTGGGCATGGACTAAAGGTTCTTCTGATGGGACCAGTATGTGAGGCCCGGGGTCAGCAAGGGCCCTGGATTCTAAGGTGAAGGTGCTGGGTGTTACCTCAGCACCTTCCTATGGGAGATACTGGAGGGACTGGCGAGTGGTGTTGAGCTGTCTGGGAAGGAGGCTGAGTCCTGGCTGAGAGTTAGCTGCTGCTGGACAGGGTTTCATCCTCCACCATTGATTAGACATGTTGACTCTGGTCCCAGCAAAGTTTGGCTTGAAAGGGAGCAGGTACGGGGCCCGCAGGAGGGACTCGGGCTGGGTACTTGTGGCTATGCTTGCGGCAGGCTGTGTGCTTGCTGGAAACCCAGACAGCTCTGCCCTGGGCCAGCAGGCTGCTGCAGTCCCTTGGGCCTCCTAAAGTGGGACAAAGCTGGTGTGAGAGAGAGGACCCTTTGCGTTCCCAAGCCAGCCCAGTGCCCTTTTAGGGAAGTTTTGCTGCAGCCTAATGCTTGCAGCTTACTCGAGATTTACGAGGATGTGTTCTGGGGAGAATTGTCTGAGCAAGGTCAACCTTGGGGCTGAGGGTCTTACTGCCCGCCTCTGGCTCTGCCTAGGTGTGGCTGAGCCACTGTCAGGAGGCCTCGGGGCTGGACTGGGGAGAGGGAATGAGTGCAGCAGAAGCTGAGTGGAGATGGTTTAGGGAGGGCTCAGGTACAGCTCAACAGTGAGGAGTCATAAAATGGGCTAGTGAGGCTGGGTTTGGGCTTTTGTGTGATGCAGCTATAGGAGGGTGGTAGTGGGCAAAATGGAGAAGAGTTCTCCCTGGGGGCAGTTGAGGTTATCCAGGAAAGATGTGGAGGGAAGGTCTTTGGGGGGTGGGGGCAGCAAGGGCAGGGTGTCTGACCTGCAGCTCAGAAGGGCTGGCCAGGCTGGACATTGAATCTGGGCAAGAAATAGAGGACAGAAAGGGCCAGCTTGAAATGTATGCGGTCATGAATATGTCTTCATGTACTTTTGGGTTTTTCTTCCAGACAAAAAAGGACCAAAAGTGAGCATCAGGAGTGGAAAAGAACCTCTGTGTGGACCTCAGACTGATGGTGCCCCGGCCTTTGTCCCCTCTCCCTAGCCCTGCCTCCACACTCCCCCATCTAACCACCTGACCCTGTTGGACATACAGGGCTGAGGCTGGAGCCACCACTGCAAGCCTAGCCCCAGCATCCCTGTCCTCGCTTCCCTCCTCCCCCCTCAGGGTGCCATGGCTTGCATCTCCAAAACTCTCCTGGGAAGTTCCCTTCCTGAAGCTCCAGGCCAGAAGGTTCTTCCAAAAAGCCACAGGTGGTCCCCACATCACAGTTGCAGAACCCCTGAACCCGTGCTATCTCCTAGCTCAGCTGGGCATTTGCTTGATAACCTGTGGCTGGGCTTTACATGTTTTCTTAAGAGCCTGGACTTTTATAAGCTCTGACCTCTGGTCTTGGAGTCTGTTTGACCAGGGAAGCAGGAGGAGGGATCAGAGGAAGCCATCTGGGCCCAGCTGTGTAGTTGGGCCTACAACTCCTCCCCCTCCCCAACTTGGCCCTACCCCATAGAGGACTCAGGAGAGACAGAGCCTGTTTCTGTTTATATAAACACAGGCCCCAGGGACTTGAGGGGTTAGAGGGAAGAGCACAAGAATGGAGGAGGGGCTAGGTAGGACTGTCCTGGGGTGGGGGAACCCCAACAGTCTGTCTGACTTCCAACTACATCTTCAGCCCTCAGCTCGTTTCCCAAGTTCAAGTTTCACTGCCCCAAACACACAGCACTGTGTCCATCTGTCCAGAAGAGGCCAGACATGTCCTCGGTACAGAAGACCCTAGAGGCTTTTGTGTCTCTGACCAAGGCAGTGTGCGGCAATCTCTGTCTGGCTGGGAGATTCCGCAGCCTCAGGAGTCACTGCGCCCATCTCTTCCCGCAAGCTCAAGGGCCAGAAGGAGATCACCAGGATGGCTGTTCCCCAGCGTACTTCCTCCCTTTTTCCCTCCCTCCCTCCAGCTGGGGGACCTAGCATTTGCTTGTGGATGTCAGGTGGGAGGAAGATAGCACTTAGGGGACACATTTGTTGTTTTTTTCTCTCTTAACTACTTTTCTTTTCTCCTTTGACAAAAGCTAGGCATAGCAGAACCCAGCAGATACCTGTGTGTCTTTGCTCTTCTTGAGCATGTACAAAGTGATTATTTTATATGTAAATCAAGACTTACATCCTGTTCCTGATCCTCAGACAGACAAATGGGCCCTGCCTGCTAGGCTTCCTCCCCTCTAAAGTTCTGGAAGGCCTAAGAGAGAAGAGTTGGGGGTATCTTGGCAGGGACCAGGCCTTGTACACATTGCTGACATGCTGTCTGGCAGAGAAATAAAGGTTGTGTGCCTGGGGGGTGGAGTATACAAGTGTCTTTTCTGGAATGTGGACCCCCACCCCGGACCTCAGCAATGCAAGAGTCGAATTCCTGCATCACCAAGAGGGTCTTTTTCTCCAACATTGGGCTTTTGAGGGTGCCAATGACCCAAACCACATCTTAATAGCAATGCGTGACCCCTCAACCTCACTGCTTGTGTAGATAGCACTTGACAGTTGAGGCACAAGTTCATACTTTTTTTTTTTTTTGGTTGGTTGTGGGGCTTGAACACGGCCTGGGCACTGTCTCTTAGCTCTTCAGCTCAAGGCTAGTACTCTACCACTTAAGCCACAGCACCACTTCCAGTTTTCTGCTCGTTTAATGAAGATCAGAGTCTCAGGGACTTTTCTGCCCAGGCTGTCTTTTAACCGCAATCCTCAGATCTCCGCCTCCTAAATAGCTAGGATTATAGGTGTGAGCCACTGGCACCTGGCTCAAGTTCAAGCTTCTTTGAAGCATTTTATGATTTACATACCATCCCTAAGATAAGTTTTTGTGTGCTAGTACCGAGAACTTGAATTCAGGGCCTTATGCTCGTGCCTAGCTTTTTCTGCTCAAGGCTTGTCCTCTACCACTTGAGCCACACCTCCACTTCTGACTTTTTTTCTCTGGTTAATGGAAGATAGGAGGCTGTTGAATTTGTCTGCCCAGGCTGGCTTCAAACCATAGTCCTCAGATCACAGGCTCCTAAGTAGCTAGGCTTGCAGATGTGAGCCACTGGTCCCCAGCAGCATACCATCCCTAAAGAAACAGGGCTGAGGTGGCACTAGAGTCTGAATCTGCTGCCCCTGCCCCCTGAAAGATGCCAGGACTTCAACTCCCCGAAGTTTCTCTCATGCTGTTTCCTCAGCCCATACGGCCCCATCCACCTCTGGCCCTTGTAAAAGCCTGTTTTCCTCTGTTTTCTGCTGACATCTCTGGGGCCTCTCTGAGGCTTGAGGTGAACAGGCCTGCCCTGGATTTGTGGGAGCCAAGCTCTAGGAAGGGATTAGCCATGTTCCTGTCTCCTCTGACAGGGTGATTCACCTTGAAAGTTTATTAGCTAATTCTCTACCCAGCTGTCCTGAGTCAGAGGCAGGACTGACTAGATAATTTGTTGCATGGCCTATTAAAAAATGAATACCCTAGAATATTGTTTAAAAATGAAGAATTATTGGGCTGGACCCAAGGAACATTTCTGGTCTGAGGACATAGCACAGTTGTAGGGTGTGTGCCTAGCATGCAAGAGACCCTGGGTTCATCTCAAGTACTACAAAGAAAAAGAACTGAACAAAATGCCTGTAATCCTAGCTATTCTGGGGACTGAGATCTGGTGATTGTGGTTCAAAGTCAGCCAGAGCAAAGTAAGTCTACAAGACTTTTATCTCCAATTAACTACTAAAAATCCAGAAGTGAAGCTGTGGCTCAAGTGGTAGAGTGCTAGCCTGGAGCAAAAGAGCTAAGGGAGAGCTGGGCCCTTAGTTCAAACCCTAGTATGAGCACATCTGTGCATACATGCATTCGCACACACATGACTTTTTTCAAAGCCTGCAGGGATAGAAGATCATTCAGTGCAGGGCTTTTCTGAGCTTAGGCCTGTGCCTTTGCACAGGTCATGGGTGCAGGAAGCCAACTGTGGCTGAACCTGCCCGAGCTCCTGGGGCTTTCGGGGAGGAGGAGTGTGCATGGAGCTCACAGCCAGAACTGGTTCAGGCAGAGGGTTCTCTCTGCCACGTGGGCAATCAATAGAATCTCCTAGTCCTCTGCTGCCATGGTCTCTGACTAGTCCTGTGACATGGGCCAAGTAAGGGCCTGGGCTCCATTTTAAAGGATGAGGAACCTGAGGCCCAGAGAAGCAGAACTTCACCCCAGACCCTCTGAGGGACCAACCCTCTGCCTGCTCACAGTGTCTGTATGTGAAACTGAGATGGTTGGCAGGGCTCAGGGTGTAGGTGTGCAGCTCCAGCCTTTCCAGCAACCTCTGGGGCCCCACAGGGAAGCCTGTTTCACTTCTACTCCCCCCCCCTCCCCAGGTCCTGCCTAAGCCCAGCTCTGTCCAGCCCACAGCATGGAGTCCACAGGCCCTGATGGGGCGGCCAAGGTAAACAGAGGTTTCCTTACCTCACAGCTGTTCACCCAGGAGGGAATTCTGGGGCAAGCCCTGGCACACTCCCTTGGTCTCAGCGGTGGCAGCTGCCAAAATGCCCTTGGGTCCCCCTGCCCTTCCAGAGACCAGAGCTTGGTGTTCCCTAGCCCCTCGGCTTCACCCCTCACCCCCAGTGGCTAGAAGGATCACACTGGTGTATTGGGATAAATAAAGGGCCAGGCACTGGTGGCTCATGCCTGTAATCCTAGCTACTTAGGAGGCTGAGATCTGAGAATTGTGGTTCAAAGCCAGCCCAGGCAGGAAAGTCCCATGAGATTCTTTTTTTCATTATTTATTTTGTCAGTCCTGGGACTTGAACCCTGGGCTTGGGCACTTCAGCTTGAGGTACAGTGAGCTCTTCAGCTCAAGGCTAGCACTCTACCACTTTGAACCACAGTGCCACTTCTGGCTTTTTTCTTTTTGCTTATGTGGTGCTGAGGAATCGAACCCAGGGCCTCATGCATGCAAGGCAAGCACTCTACCACTGAGCCACCTTCCCAGGTCCACCCTCCCCCATGAGATTCTTATCTCCAATGAACCACCAGAAAAAAACAGAAGTAGAGCTGTGGTTCGGGGTAGTAGAGTGCTGGCGTTGAGCAAAAGAGCTCAAGGAGAGTGTCCAGGACCTAATCAAGCCCTACAACCAACAAAACAACAAAGGAGTCAAATGAGGTTAGAAGGAGAGAGGAAGGTCTTTCCTTTTCCCAAAGGCCTAAGCTCAACGGTTTAGCAGCCTTCATCTGTGCAGGGCCCTAATATCCGTCCATGGGTGAAGGATAAATCAAATAATGATGTGTTCATGCAATAGAATATTCTTCTACAAGAAAAAGGAACAAATGGCATGGAAGAATCTTAAAACCACTGGGCTGAGTGAAGAAGGCTAGACATTAAAGCATCTGGCCTGTGATCACACTTGTATAAAGGTCCTCCAAAGTCAAAGCTGGAAAGACAAAGCAGATTTGTGATTCTATAGGCTTGGGGCTGGAGGAAAATTGACTACAAAGAATCAGGAAAGAAACTTCTAGAAGGTTGGACTGGGGTGGAGGTGACTATATACACATATCAGACCTCATCAAGCTGTGTGTCTCAAGTGGGTACAATTTATTATATGTAAATTACACCTCAACCCAATTTGATGAAAGACACACACACACACACACACATACACACAGACAGAATGAAGAGACAGGAACCAGAGAGGAGTTAGGTGGACATGGAGACATATCATCCTTGTGAGCTGGATGGAGATGGAGCCTCTTAAGTGGTTGTTCAGTGTTGGGGCAGAAGGGCCTAGGCCATGATCTGGGGGTTCAACAGTGGAAGTTCTTGGGACCTGAGTGTCTAAGAAGACCGGATGGCGGGGCGGGAAGGTGGCTCAGTGGTAGAGTGCTTGCCTTGCATGCATGAGGCTCTGAGTTCAATTCCTCAGCATCACATAAGCAGAAAAAGCCAAAAGTTGTGCTGTGGCTCAAGTGGTAGAGCAATAACCTTGAGCTGAAGAGCTGAGGGACAGTGCCCGGGTGGCCCAGAGTTCAGGCCCCATGACTGACAAAAAAAAGACCAGTTGGCGCCTGTGTCTACCTCTTGAGGGCTCAGGCTGACCTCCAGGCCTGGGTGGTGGCCCCAGGATGGGGAATAGCCCCCTCCACATCCACAGAGCTGCTAAATTTAGCCAGACAGGGGAGTTTGTCCCAGGGCTGAGCACTTGGCAGCAGGGCCTTGTCTCCCTACAAGGCCTGGCCCAGTACCCAGGCTGGCCACCCAGCCTTTGGGCTTATAAGGCAGGTCTGGCAGATCTCAAGTGCTGGAGTCTTTGAGTGGGATCTGGGCCAGGCCTCAAGCATTGGGGAGCCTCTTTTCAAGCCATCAGCAGACAAGAGAACTACTTATTCTGTGACCTTGGGCCAGATCCTCAGTCTCTGCATCTGTACAATGGGGATTCTAATAACATAGTAATATAGTACCTGTAACATAGTACCTCACGGTACTATAGTAAATAAAACCCCACAAACTCTAGTATGAAGAAGTCTGATCTCTGTTTCCTGCTCACCCATACCCGACACAAGGCCCAGAATAAACACGGTGTCTGTCCCTGGGCATGCTGGAGTTGGGGCTAAGGATAAGAAAGATGTATTTTAGAACCAGTGAAAGACACCTCCCCCCCACCAGGGGGCTGGCTTTTTTTTTTTTTCAGAGTATCTGTCCTCTGTGCCAATCTGTTTTTTGAATTCCAAGGCCAATACCCAGGTGGTAATAGAAGCATATGTGTGTGCTCCAAGCAAGTCAATCTGTCTATTGTTCCATCTGTCCTTGTCTAAGCCTAGATCCTTGAAGGAAGAAAGGGAAGAGCAGGAAGTGGAAGGAAGAGGAGGAGGGGGAGGAAGGGAAGGAGAAAATAGTGGTGTTTTGAGAGAGATAGACCGGACAATGACTGCCTTTCTTTCCCCTTCCTTCCATCCTATCCTGTCCCTCTTTTCTTCATCTCTCATTTATTGTCTGCCCCTTTCCAGAATTTGCTGTGGGTGTCAGGAGAATGAATGTCCCTGGGGAGAGGTGCAGGGACAGCTAAATCTCAGCACCCACCTAGTCCTACCACAAGCAGCCCATATCCAGGGCCTCCTGTAACATCATCTATGAGGTCAGCTGGTAGAGGAAAAGGATCTTTAGCTTGGGGTCAAGACCAGGCCAAGGGAATGTGCTAGACGCTCCAGTTCTGGATCCTACCATCTCTGGACTTTTCCTTGGAAAAGTGTGGAATATGATTCTCACGAACCCCCTAGGTGGTGGTGCTGGTCCATTGAGGTCCCTGCTGGAATGGAAGTGACTCTTTGGTGGTGGGGGTTGAGCTCTTCAAGGAGGAGGGGTGCTAAGAGGGGCTGTGGATCTTACCTCCTTGCAGCCCCTTTGCTTTCCAGAAAGTAACTCTGTCCACAGGCAGCTGAGGGCCCTGAAGATTCCCAGCCCCAAGGGCCTGGCTTCCTGCCCAGAGCAATTTCCCTGCTAATGGCTTGTCAGGAAGAAGACTCCTATCAGCTGGGGGCAGGGGGTGCAGCTTGGACTAGGGTGGCTCCTGCTTCAAATTGGAACCTCTGGTACCTCCAGAACCACTCCAGTGAGTTCAGAGCCACCCATTTCTCCTCTCTAAACTTCATATACAAAAGGAGAAGTGGGTGGAAGGGGCCCCCAGCTCTACTGTGTGAGACCCTGGTGCTCAGCGCCCAGATCATCATGGAAGAGGACAATAGGTGCACAGGAGTTGGACCCCAAACTCAACAGTGGCCTCAAGTCCTCTGTCCTCTGTTGTCAAGATCCATTTTCTAGAGGCCTCCACTTCTAAGGACATGCCATTATGTCCCCCTTGACAGATGAGGAAGTAGGCTCAGAGGCCAGGCAGCACTCCAAACCCCAACAGGTGGCAAAGCCAGAGATGTCTGGTGTCAAGCAAGCTGGGCACTAGACCCCCATGGCAATATGGGACATATGCAGTGATTGGCTTATCTAGGTATCTGCCTTCTTCCTCTCTGCTGGCGTCGACTGAAGTGGGGATGGGGAAGTATGACCAGGACAGGATGATGGGAAGACAGGAAGCTGGGAGTGGAGACACCAGCCAGATGCTGAAGTTGATGGGCATAAGCCGGGCTTGACTTTGGAAGGATGGATGGTGGACAGAGTGTAGACAGGCAACACCAGGCAAAAGGATGTGAACTGCCCTCTTCCTTTTTCTGTCTTTCTCCCTGCAGGTCCCTATGCACTGAGCTGCCTACCAACCCTGTGAGTATGGGGGTGGTGGTGGGGTAATAGGGTATGGAAGAAAGGGATATAAATGGTTCCTGGCTTTGAAGCAGTTCTTGACTGAGGCCATCAAGCTTATACCCAGGCCCTGGCTAGAACCCCCAGCTCTGTCTTGCCAGGTTCCTAAGGATTGGGAGGTGGCTGGTAATTTTATCTTTGCCTGTGTGACCAGTGGTTGGTGGTTTCCGGCCAACAGCCCTTATTTCCGGAGGCTCAGCAGGGCCCAGGCGGAGCCTAGGGGGCAGTGGGGGCTGGGCCTGGGTGGCCCCACCAGCCCCGCCTCTGTCTATCTTTGGGAATTTATTATCATGGGCACAACCAGCCGGCAGTTCATTGCTTGCCAGGAACCAAGAGCTCCTCTGACCACTCTGTGATTCTAGCTAACCTGGGACTCGTGACCTCTGACCCCACCTTCCCTGCCCTGAGGGGCCAGGGAGAAGCTCTGCTGCTGCAGACCTGGGTGCTCACTGAAGCAGAGACTCTGCGGGGCTCATTTCTGGCTGGTCATGCCGCAGCGGAGGCGGCAGCTGCAGGATGAACTGGCAGCCTTCTTCTTCGAGTATGACACCCCCCGGATGGTGCTGGTACGCAACAAGAAGGTTGGTGTCATCTTCCGGGTGATCCAACTGGTGGTCCTGACCTATGTTGTTGGGTGAGTTTTGTCCCCTTCCTGTCTCCCTCCCCCCTTCCCACCGCTACCTTTGTGCCCCAGCCCCCAACCTGGACCTGTCCTCTGAGCTCCAGGATGCCACAAAGGCCCCCTTTCTCTCCATGTGCTGGGAGACACTCCTGATCAGCACCATGCTGTTCAGAAGGAAAGGAAAGCCCTGCTAATTGACTGTCAAGATGGGGACACTGAGGCAGGAGGAGACATCTGCTCCAGTCATGTGGTGATGGAGGCAATGTCAGGCCCTGAGGAACTGAGTCCAGCAAATGGTTTCTTCAAGTAATGAGTGGTGCTTACCAGACTCTAGCTCTGTTCTTCCACAAACTCATGATGCTACTCTGCTGAGCTGAAAGCTATACCTCATGGTGGATCACAAACTCTCCTCTTACCTTCCTGGTCTGAGTTAGGGACATCCTGGGGGTCCTTGAGATCCTGGAAGCTGAGAAACTCTCAGATTCTCAACACCTGGCCTCAAGGGTGGCTTGATGAGAGCAGGGACGCCAATTCCTTCTGGTCAGCTCTGCTGGTGGTGCTGCAGGGGTCCTCCCCAGCCACAGGCTGTCCTGGGGCTACCACCCAGAGGACACTTTTTTTTCTGAAACCAGTCTGATTGTCCTAGAAGCCAGGGCAGGCCTGTCCTTGTGTCATGTGGGTGCCTGTGTGTCCTGCACAGAGCTCCAAGGCCAACCTACACTCTGTGTCTGGGCCTGTAACCAATAATGTGGCTGCTGGGTGTGTCCCTGGGGCTGTGTCTGCAGCTGCCCTCAGTTAGAAGTGTTTGAGTAAGCTGGGTGCTGGTGGCTCACACCTGTAATCCTCGCTACTCAGGAGGCTGAGATCTGAGGATCATGGTTTAAAGTCAGCCTGAGCTGAGACTCTTAATCTCCAATGACCAGCAAAATGCTAGAAGTGGGGGTGTGGCTCAAGTGGTAGAGTAACAGTGTTGAGTGGAGCAAAGCTAAGGGAGAATGTACTGGCCTTGATTTCAAGCCCCAGTATCAGCATTAAAAAATAATGTGAATCAAGTGGCATGTGTCTCCTGCGTGTGGTGCACCAGGCAGCTCCGCAGAGGGCTCCTAGAGCCTCAGGAGTCAGGAGACTTGTAGGGGTGAGTCTCTGCTGGGGACCAGAGGTCACCTGGCAAATTCTGCACCTCTGCTCTTCACACTCCCATGTTTGCTATGATTCCACCTAGGACTACTGGATGGAACCGAGGTGGGTTGACCAGTGACCCAAACAGTGAACACACCCTGAAGGCTCAGTATCTCAAGAAGCCTTCCCTCTGCCCAATCTGCCTATCTAGTCAGCAAGCCAGGGAAGGCTGAGGCCAGGACTTCTTTTCTGTGTTGTGGCCTTTGCATCCCTCTTGTTCATAAACCAGTTTGAAGGGTTGGGAGGTGATGTGTCTCAAGTGGTAGAGTACCTGTCTAGTGAGCACAAACCCTTCAGTTCAAGCCCCTGTACTATGAGAGAGAAAGAGAAAGAGAGAAGGAAGGAAAGGAAAGAAAGAAAGAAAAAGAAAGAAAGATAAAAGGAAGGAGGGATAGAAGGAAGGAAGGAAAAAAGAAAGAGAGAAAGAAGAAAGAAAGAAAGAGAAAGGAAGGAAGGAAAGAAAGGAAGGAAGGAAGAAAAAAGAAAGAAAGAAAGAAGCAAGGAAGGAAGGGAGGAAGGAAGGAAGGGAGGAAGGAAGGAAGGAAGGAAGGAAAGATTGACATCTGGGACATTAGTTCAATTTGAAGGAAACAGTTCCAGAGAGAAGCAGCGTGACACAGCTCACATCACAAGTCAAAGCTTAGAATGAAAGCCCCTCTGTTAGCCTTTTTTTTTTTCCCTTTTGGAAATACTGGGGCTTGAACTCAGGATTTTGTGCTTGCTAGGCTGGGTTTTCTACCCTTTGAGCTCCTTCTCCAAGTCCTGCTTTTTTTTTTCCTGGTTATTTTCAAGATACAGTCTCTCAAACTTTTCTGCCTAGGCTGGCCTTGAACCATTCCACTCTCAGTCTCCTAAGTAGCTAGGATTACAGCCTAGGACACTGGCACCTGGCTGCTTTGCCTTCTTTCTCACCATCATGGGGTTCTGGGGACTTCCTAATGGGCTCGCTTGGCATGGGAGGGATCTAGATGTCCACCACCTTCAGATGCTTCACTTCAGATGCCCCAAGGAGGAGAACTAGCACTTTATCTGCAGGTTGGCATTCCCAGCCTTCCAGTCACTTGGAAAGCCAAGTAGGGTGCTGCCCTTGGCCTGGCATGAGGGCTCCCTGTGCTATGTTGAGACTCATGGCTGTGAGCAGCACCAAGGCCCTCTGTGTAGTTGTCACAGAGGAAGAAGAAGCACCAAATCCATCCCTTCTAAGGGTGTGCCTCAGCTACCCTCCAGCCTGAGCTGGACCTCAGGGACTTCAGGTCCCTCTCTAGGGCCCGCACCTCCCCACTACCCTCTTCCCTCTTCCCTCCCAAGACAGTCTGTCTCCTCAGCTCTTTGCCACGCCACATGTGTTTGGGGAAAGGGTCAGAGGCCCAGGGCTAAAGAGAGGCGAACCAAAATTGGAACCAGTTTCATGATTCCAAAGAAGGCTTTGGGATCCTGGAAAGGAAGCAAACTCAAGAGAGGGTCACTGAAACAGCCAAAGCACACAGCAGAGTTGAAAAGACGGGGTCTCTCGCTGCTCCTGCCCAGGCTTCAATGTCCACCATGGCCATCACTTACATTATCTCTGTCGCCCTCATCTGGCAATTCCCAAGTGCTGCATGGGTAGAAGACCCCAACTGAGACTGAGCCAGCAGAAACTTGGTTTCTCAGGCCTCAGTTTTCCTGCTGTTACTTGGGGCAGAGGGTCTAGGGAAAACTTCTCTCTTTCCTGAGGACAAATGGGCTTTTCTCTGGAGCTTCCTTTTCCTAGATGTCTATCTGAATGTCCAGTCTCGTGAATTTGGCAGAACCGGCAGAGCGAAACATGAGAGCTACATAACTCCAGTTCCCAGATTGAGGATGATGAATATACAGAGACAGAGTGGAGCAGAGGGAAAGCATAGATCAGATGAAGGAAGTCTTCTATCAGCTTAGAGAAGCAGAGAGAGAAAGACAGAGATACAGAAAGGCTGAGATGCCAAGAACTAGGTTGAGTTCTGAGAAGGGAAACTGAGGCTGGATCTCTATCACCTCTCACTTCCTTCACTTACCAGGGGGAATTGAGAGGTGCTGGAGGCTGGCCTCTTTTGACTTCCTCTAGGAGATGGCTGTCTGTCACTGGAGATAAGTGAACAATGAGCTGTCAAACTGTGACCAAATGAGCTTATGATATAGGGTTGTGCTGGGTCATGCACAAAGTAGGGTCAGCCTAAGGGGTTCTGGATAGGGGAGAAGATTGATGGCCTGCCTCCCCAGAGGCATGGGTCAAGAAGGTCCCAATATGATGTGTGATTGCCTCTTAGGTAGGAGGACTGAGAAGTCTTGGAGGAGATGAACCAGCCATGGCACAGGCCTATGGCCCATAGGGTGCTCAGGTTGTCTCTGGATGCTCTTCAGCTCAAAGCTAGCACTCTACCACTTCAGCCACAGCACCACTTCCCGTTTTTGTTCTGCTTATGTGGTGCTGAGGAATGGAACCCAGGGCCTCATGCATGCAAGGCAAGTACTCCACCACTGAGCCACCTTCTCAGCCCTCTTTTGCAAAGCTCTTGAAGTCATATATTCAGAAATCGCTAAGTGCCAGGCACCAGTGGCTCACGCCGGTAATCCTATCTACTCAGGAGGCTAAGATCTGAGGATCACGGTTCAAAGCTAGTCTGGGCAGGAAAGTCTGTGAGATTCTTATCTCTAATAAACTACCAGAAAACTGCAAGTGGCGCTGGGGTTCAAGTGGTAGAGCATTAGCCTTAGGCTGAAGAGCTCAGGGACAGTGCCCAGGCCCAGAGTTCAAGCCCCACGACCAACACCCCCCCCCAAAAAAAATCGTTAAGTGATTCTGGAATGCAATGATCAGGGTATAAGTTATTGCTGAGAGACATTCGTGTAGGGACCACTTCACTAGCATCTTCTTCGTGCTGGGCACTGTGCCAGGGGACCTAGGTGGCAGGACACAGGTGGGCAGAGGGAAAGGGAAGAACTGAGGATGAGTTCCCTAGAGATCCTTTGGTGTCTGGGACAAAGGTCAAACCAAGTTGAATTTCAAAGGAAGGACTGGGTATGGATTCAGGCTTCAGGTCTAGCTGGTCCTTCATGACTAGGGTACTGGGAGGCAAGCTCTGTGGAGATGAAAAGAATAAGTTTTGACCCAGCTTGGGCTCTTCAATGAAGGGAGCCAGGATCCTTCTTCTCTTCTCAGCTCTGCTTTGCTTTTTGGAGGCATTGTTCTCAGGCAGGCTTCCTGTTCTTGTAGTGGCAATATGGCCATCAACAGGCTGACACCCTTACCTTTCCCATCCTGGAGATCCAAGAGCACCTCCTTCCTCCAGAGTTCCAATAAAAGTCTCAGGTCCAGCTCTTACTGGCTGAGGCTGGGTTGTGTATCTACCCCAGAACCAATCATTGTGATGAAAGAAATGGAACACTCTAATTAGGGGAGTGTGGTTGTGTACTCAGCCTGGTACAAACCTTCCTTTTGAAGAGCAAGTGGGCAGGAAGAGGTAGTTCTGTGGAAGAAGAGTTCTGAATTTTTGTTTGTTCAGTAGTTAGTACTTGTGTCAAGCCTGATTTCTCATTGTTTGTTCAGTAGTTAGTACTTGTGTCAAGCCTGATTTCTCATTCTATAATATTCACTTATTTGTTTCTCTATTTTTTTTTGTCATTTGTGGAACTAGGGATTGAACCCAGGACATGAACTTGCTAGGGAAGCACTTTGCCACTGAGCTACATCCCAGCCCTCTCTATTTTTTAATATTGGTACTTAGGATGGAGCTCAGGGCCATGCACACACTAAGCACACTTTCTACCACAGAGCTACAATTCAAGCTTTTTAATTTTTTTTACCCTTTTAAAAAACAATTCTGGCAAGACATAGCAGTAGATATCTATATTCTAACATTCAAGAGATTGAAGCGGAAAATTGCAAGTTCAAAATCAATGTGGACTACATTTGAGACCTTATTTTAAAAAAAGAAGCAGAGCCGGGTGCCAGTGACTCATGCCTGTAATCCTAGCTACTCAGGAGGCTGAGATCTGAGGATCATGGTTCAAAACCAGCCCGGGCAAGAAAGTCCATGAGACTTTTATCTCCAATAAATCACCAGAAAATAGGAAGTGGCACTGTGGCTCAAGTGGTAGAGCGCTAGCCTTGAGCTGAAGAGCTGAGGGACAGCGTTCAGGTCCAGAGTTCAAGCCCCACCAAAAAAAAAAAAAAAAGAATCAGGGCTACATGCCTGTGATTCTAGCTACTTAGGAGGCTGAGATCTGAGGGTTTCAGTTTAAAGTCAGCCCAGACAGGGAAGTCTATGAGACTCTTATCTCCAATTAACCACCAAAAACCCAGAAGTGAGGTGGAGCTGTGGCTCAAGTTGTAGAATCATACTCTTCAGGGGAAAAAAAGAAAGAGAGAAAAAAAGTTCAGGGACTATGTTTAAACTTTGAGTTCAAGCCCCAAAGCTAGCACACAAAAAATAAAAATAGTCTGTGCTGAACAGGTACTAAGAGAAAAGAAGGAGGAGGGGGATGGGGGGGAAGAAGAGGAAAAGGAGAGGGGCAAGAGGAAGGAATAAGATTGTTTTTTTGGGGGGAGGAGCTCCTGAAGATGCCAGTGTCCTTGACCTCAGGCCCCCTTGATGGTTCTTCTGGGAATAGTAGGCTAGGTCAAGGAATGGCTTTGGAGTGGCAGACCTGGTGCCATAATTATACTATTATTACCAGAACTGAGATTGTTAATGCTAGATTTGACTTTTCCTTCTGATCCCCAAACTAGCAGCCTGAAGGCAGTCACAGCCCAGAAATGTTGTTCTGGTCCCAGTACATAGTCTGTATGTGTTGGGGGGGGGTGAGGTCCCAGAGGCACACAGGCACATTGCTGCTTGTTATTGGGGGGCAGGGGTCCCAGGAGGCACACTAGTACAGTGCTGCTTGGTGGACGGGCCTAGGACTCACTCACTGCTTGGGGAGAGTCGGGGGCACTCTGTCAAGCATCACATTTTCCATCTATGGTGTGATGTATTGGTATTAGGATGAAAAAAAAAATCCCCTGGGATGTGAAGAAGCTCAGCTGATTCTCCTGCAGCGGAGTTCTGAATATGGGCAACTTCCCTAAAGCAGCTGCCCCATGCTTGAGATTGGAGCAGGGGGCAGAGGCCTGCTTGCCAATGGGAAGGGACCTGGCAGTGGGGGTGGGGATGGGGCGGGGATGGGAGTGGGGTGGGAGTGGCTCTCTCTCTAACCAGTTTTCAACACTGGTTTTGAATACTAGCACCATGTCTCCTTGGCTGTGTGGTTGTGGTGAGTTATTTGGTCCCTCTGCAGCAGAATCAGAATGAATGTGTCTACATAGTCTATACTTTGTGCTAGGCATTAATCTGTTTAACATAAACGTGTGCGTGCCAATCCTGTCCCTGAGCTTTTTTTGCTCAAGGCTATCATTACCACTTGAGCCACAGCTCTACTTCTGGCTTCTTTTGATGAATAAGAGTCTCAGGGACTTTCCTGCCCAGGCTAGTTTCAAACTCTAATCCTTAGATCTCAGCCTCCTGAGTAGCTAGGATTACAGGCATGAGCCGCTAGTGCTTGCCTAATAAGTACTTTTAAAATTATTGTTTTATAGATGAGAAAGTAAGGGATAGAGGGACCAAATAACTCACCATAACTACACAACCAGGGAGATATGGTGCTAGTATTCAAAACCAATTGCTGGGTATTAGTTAGCAGACGTTAAGCCCTCATGCTCTGCAGTCTCAGGGGAAGGAGCAAAGAAAAGTAGATGTGCGGGTCCAAAACATGTAGTATATATACACAATGGAATTTTACTCATCTGTTAGAAAGGATAAGATTATGTTGTTTTGTTTTGTTTTGTTTTCCCAGTCCTGGAGCTTGAACTCAGGGCCTGGGCACCATCTCTGAGCTTCTTTTGCTCAAGACTAGCACTTTACCACTTGTGCCACAGTGCCACTTCCAGCTTTTTCTGTTTATGTGATACTGAGGGATCAAACCCAGGGCTCCATGCGTGCTAGGCAAGCATTCTACCACTAAGCCACATACCCAGCCCTAAGATTATGTTGTGTGCAGGGAAATGGATGTACCTAGAACAAATCATGTTAAATATCTAAAATATAATGAGCTGGGCACTGGTGGTTCATGCCTGTAATCCTAGCTACTCAGGAGGCTGAGATCTGAGGATTGCAGTTCAAAGCCAGCCCAGGTAGGAAAGTCTGTGACACTCTTTTTTTTGGGGGGGGTGGTCTGGTCATGGGGCCTGAACTCTGGGCTTGGGCGCTATCCCTTAGCTCTTCAGCTCAAGGCTAGCGCTCTACCACTTGAGCCACAGCGCCACTTCCAGGTTTTTTCTTTTTGCTTATGTGGTGCTGAGGAATCGAACCCAGGGCCTCAGGCATGCAAGGCAAGTGCTCTACCACTGAGCCACCTTCCCAGCCCCTTGTGACACTCTTATCTCTAATTAACCAGCAGAAAACTGGAAGCGGCACTGTGGCTCAAGAGGTAGAGCGCTCACCTTGAGTTGATAGAGCTCAGGGACAGTGCATAGGCCCAGAGTTCAAGACCCACAACCAGAAAATAAATAAATAAATAAAATATAATAGGACATGATAGGTTATACAGGACTCTAAGCATTCACACACAGTGAGACCAAAGGAGGATACAAATAGGGGAGGAACCCAAAGGTCACAACTGCCCTAAACATTTCCAACATTATTTACCAAAAATTCCAGGAAACAGAAACTTGGATTATTTATGTTGGTGGTGGTGGTAGTGATGGTAGTGCTGTTTTGTGTGTGCTTCCCCCCCCCACACACCCCCCTTTTGGGACTTCTTGGGAAGGGGGCAAAAGGAGGGGGTTGCAGAAAGGGAGATAGAAAGAGTGAATGAATGCAGTCATTCTATTCGGCATACACCATGTGGAAAATGAACTATGCAACTTGTGGGCAGGGACAGGAAGGAAAAACTGGAGGAAAGCGAATGATGGGAAGTCTAAGCATTACCTGAATTATGAAATTGTAACCACTCTGCACACCTTAGTAATAACAATAAAACTATATTTTAAAAAGAAAGGAAAGAAACAATGAAGGGAGGGAGGGGGACTTTGGGAAGAGGCAAGACTGCAGGCCCCAGGAAACCCTGATCTTGGGAAAGCATCTGGCAGGTAGGTGACTTTCAGTAGGTCTGTCTGTCTCATCCCTGGGAATGAGCGTCCTCACGGGGCAAAAAGATACAATTTCAGGCATAGGCCAGCAGGAGGCGTAGGCATAGTGTTCTGGCTCCAATCAAGCCTCTCACTCTTGGGAACCAGAGAGCACTGTGAAGCTTGTGGTAGAGATGGGGGAAGGCCATGACACATTCAATGGGCTTCAGCAAGGCCAGAGGCCTGCCCAGTTCCTGCCCAGACCCATAATTCCCCACAGGTGGGTGTTTGTCTTCGAGAAAGGCTACCAGACCTCAAGTGGCCTCATTAGCAGTGTGTCCGTGAAGCTTAAGGGCCTGGCAGTGACCCAGCACCAGAGCCTGGGTCCCCAGGTCTGGGATGTAGCTGACTACGTCTTCCCAGCACAGGTGAGCTGACTTAGGGGTGCACCTTCTCCCCACAGACCTGACTCCAGCCTGGGAGGTCTCTGTTTTACCTCCTGTGGGACCAGTACAACTCCTTGCTCTTTGGGCCTCAGTTTCCTTGGGAATCTGGTGCTATCACGCTTCTGTAACATCACAGGATGTGGAGGGTGCTGGTTGTCAGGTGGGCTTCTGAAGCCTGCTGGGTAATATGCCACTGTTCCAGCTTCTGTCTCCCCCTCATTTCAGGGGGACAACTCCTTTGTGGTCATGACCAACTTCATTGTGACCCCCCAGCAGGCTCAAGGCTACTGTGCAGAGGTGAGGATGCTGCCTCTGCCAGGACCACTGGGGAAATCCCAGGGAAGAGGAGGACCCATGGGTGTTGCAGGTGCAGCAGGGCAGCTTCTGCAGGTGTCCATGATGGAATGTGGGGCAGAGAGCCACAAAATGACCATCAGCCATGGGTAGCGCTGAGCCTTCTTCTGGCTCTATGCCAGATAGGATGCTGAGTCTTAGCCCTCCCTCCCCCCACCTCCCTATGCCTTGCCAGTTGATACTTGTGATGGGGAGCTGGGCATGAATTCAGTTGGCACTGTGGGGACTAGGGACAAGGAGTCTGGGAGAAGGGCTCACCCTACAGACTTGAGACTCTGCCTCATGCCTTCTCTGAGACCCCAAGGGTGGGAGAGCTTGGGGCCAGTACCTCTCCTCCCCCAGAACCCAGAAGGAGGCCTGTGCAAAGATGACAATGGCTGTACGCCTGGGAAGGCAGAAAGGAAAGCCCAAGGTAAGGCTAGCATCCTCTTGGCACCCCCGTGGCTGCTCTTGATGCCAAGCTCCAAGCCTTCAGGCCACACTCTGCCTTTCTCTACAGCCACCCATCAGACTGTCTTTCACCAGGGCATCTGTCCTGTCTTTCCCTCCAAACCATCCTGGTTCTGTGGGTCTGCACACACCTTGATGTGTTTCCTTACTCAGCTCTGTGTCCTTGTTGTCCCAACATGGGACCTCCTACGTCCTGTGGGGATAGGTAGGAGGCCTGTGGGTCCCCGTCTTGGGGTGGGGACCCACAGGCCTCTTACCTACTCCTACCACCCCAAGATGGGGACCCAGGGGCTCTTCCTTTCCTGCAGGTATCCGCACAGGCAAGTGTGTGGCCTTCAATGATACTGTACGTACGTGTGAGATCTTTGGCTGGTGCCCTGTGGAGGTGGATGACAAGGTCCCACGGTAACTAATGCCTGTATTTTCTGTGGGGATAGGGTTCCCAGCTGACACAGAGTCATCTGGATCTGCAAGGGGCCTAATCCTGCTTCTCCTCACCCCATCTACACCCCATTAAGTAACCTAGGCCAGAGAGTCCCCACCCTGCTGAAGTCCTGTGAGGCTGCACGGCTGCGTGGCTTCATGGCTGCGTGGCTGTGCGGCTGCAGAACCTCAGGCCATTCTGTGCCTGGCGCTGAGGAGCACTTGGGTGCCCCTGGGGAGGGGTGGTGAGCAAGTGTGGTCCTCCCCCAGTCCTGCCCTTCTCCGAGAGGCCGAGAACTTCACCCTCTTCATCAAGAACAGCATCAGCTTTCCACGCTTCAAGGTCAACAGGTTTGTGGGAAATGTTGGGAGACATTCAGGCTGCTCTTGGACACTCCAGCTGCTCCCAACCCTTGCCATCTTCCTCCTTCCTGCTACTCTCGCTTTGTGGGCCGAAGCCTGGGTTGCACCCTTGGGATGGGCCACTCAAAGATCCTTCTGGAGCCTGGGAGAGTCCTCAAGCACTGTGGGAGACAGTGGGAGCCTTTTCAGCTGACACATGGCTGCAGTCAATGTCCTCTGCCCCAACAGACGCAACCTGGTGGAAGAGGTAAATGTCACCTATATGAAGAGCTGCTTGCATCACAAAACCTTGCACCCTCTGTGCCCTGTCTTCAGCCTCGGTTACCTGGTGCAGGAGTCTGGCCAGGACTTCAGCACCCTGGCAATAAAGGTAAAGGCAGCACCAGGCATGGGGAGCAGTGGTCTAGGATCCCAAATAGGCCTGTGAGGCCTGGTTCACCCTCCCCAGGATCCCTGGTGCAGGCCTAGTGTGTGCATGGGACTCTTATCTCCAATAAACCACTAGAAAACAGGAAGTGGCATTGTAGCTCAAGCAGTAGAGTGCACACCTTGAGCTGAAGAGCGCAGGGACAGCGCCCAAGCCCAGAATTCAAACCCCACAACCACACACACACATACACACACACACACACACACACACACACACACACACACACACACACACACACACACAAAGAGTCTCATGGACTTTTCTTCCCAGGCTGGCTTCAAACCACAATCCTCAGATCTCAGCCTCTTGAGTAGCTAGGATTACAGATGCAAGCCACTGGCACCTAGCTAGACAGGAGTTTATTGATCCTGAATTCCCAGATCTTAGACACTCATCTCCCTGGCAGGGTGGAGTGGTTGGCATCACCATCGACTGGAACTGCGACCTGGACTGGCACGTGCGACACTGCAAACCCGTATATGAGTTCCACGGGCTGTATGGGGACAAAGATTTGTCTCCAGGCTTCAATTTCAGGTGCTTGCAGCCCCACACCCCTGCCATTCTTCTTTGGGGTCCTCTCGGCTTCTTTACTCCCAGAAACCTGTTCAATTGAGTAAGTGTCTCCTAAAGGGACTAGAAGACCCTGGACAGCTCCCACTCTGTGTAGATGGTCAAGCAGGAGCCTGAGTTGGAGGCCTGAATTCCTCTGCTCTGGGTCTCTGTCCCCTCAAGGCCCACCTGGTCGGGACAGGCTGAGGATATCACTGGGAGCAGGAGTCAGGGCAAAGGCTGAGAGGGAAACTTGGATAGAGGCTTATAACTTCTCCCTGCGGTATAAGGGGAGGGGGGTCCACTCCCTGACCTCTCAGGGTTAATGTTCTCTTGCTGCTCTGCCACTTGAAGAGGTCTCCATGACCTTCTCCTCCACCTCACCCTTCCCCAAGGTTTGCCAGATACTTCATGCAGAACGGGACCAACCGTCGTCACCTCTTCAAGGTGTTCGGGATTCGCTTTGACATCTTGGTGGATGGCAAGGCAAGTGGGAAGAGGAGCGGCCAGGCCATGTTCCTGACTTTGGGTGTCTGTAGATGGAAGGGATGAGGGTCTGGGGTCTTCCCAAAAGGTCTTGATGCTGATGACAGGTGGCCTGGCAATATCCAGGGCCAGGCTTTAGCAACCAGTGGTGATTGCCATGCCATTTTCTTGGGTCCAGTAAGACAGAGTCCAGGTCTAAACTCAGATGTGCTCCTTGGCATCTAATTTCCATGACAGGTCAGAACCCTGAGCCATAGGCAGTGAGGGACAGAGTCAAAAGGGGAATGCTGGTGAAGGCCCCATCCTAGGTCTGTTGACTCTGCCTTCCCTTGGGCTGCCCCCAGGCTGGAAAGTTTAACATCATTCCCACCATGACCACCATTGGCTCTGGGATTGGCATCTTCGGGGTGGTAAGTGGATACATGGCCGTGGTGCTGGAGTCAGCCTCTCTTCATCTACATTCAGTAACAGCAGCAGCAGCAACAAATTCCTCACTCTAAAACTCAACCATAGGTTGCTGGGAAGATGGCTCAGTGGTAGAGTGCTTGCCTTGCATGCATGAGGCCCTGGGTTCGATTCCTCAGCACCACATAAGCAAAAAGAAAAAAAGCCAGAAGTGGTGCTGTGGCTCAAGTGGTAGAGCGCTAGCCTTGAGCTGAAGAGCTGAGGGACAGTGCCCAGGCCCAGAGTTCAGGCCCCACGACTGGAAAATAAATAAATAAATAAATAAAACTCAACCATAACAGCTCAGCTGCCCACCCCACCACCCTAAACCCACAGTGTATTTGACACAGAGGCTCCAAACACGGACAGGGGAGAGGTGGGATGGGGCTAGCTGGGTCCCCTGGGTGGCTTGCAGTCCCTCCTCCCATCTCCAGAAAACTGAGTATAGAGTTGAGGATTCCACCAAGACCACTAAGGTGGTAGGGACTTCAGGAAGATCTAGAAGATTCCTCCCCCTTTCCCCCAGATTTCCATGCTCCATCCCCCTGCTCCTGTCCCCAGGCCACAGTCCTTTGTGACTTGCTGCTGCTCCACATCCTGCCCAAGAGACACTACTACAAGCAGAAGAAGTTCAAATACGCAGAGGACATGGTGGTGGGAGAGGTGAGAGAATTCCCTCAGTGGGGCCCTTCCAGGACAGCAGGCCCCTGTGTCTGTGTTGGGGGTTTGGTGGGGCCTCCCCAGGGCTGACTTACATCCCCCATGATGCACACAGGGTGAGCAGGACCCTGCAGCCACCAGCTCGACCCTGGGCCTGCAGGAGAACATGAGGACTTCCTGACCCGCGACCCCTGGCCCTGCCTGGATGTAGCTCAAGGCTTCAGGCTGGGGCTAGTGTGTCCCAGCCATGGTGCAGGGGTCTTTCGAGGGATAGAAGACACAAGTGTGCCCACAGCTCGGGGCAGACACTAATTGAGACTGTGTAATTCAGGTCTCTGTCTCCAACTCCACACCCCAAGGGAGACCCATCCCAGTTTTGGCCACTCTGGGTCCAGAAGGCTCTAGCTGGTAGGGTTCCTTACACACCTGTCCACCATCTTTGTGCATGTTTCCAGGGCTTTCATTGTTATTATCCATCCTCTTCCTCAATTTCCTTTGATCTGTGCTCTCCAACATGACAGCTACTAGCCACAGAGGTGGTGATTTCAATTTAAGTGATTTAAAATCCGATAAAACAAAGGAAACTTCAGCTCAGTGAACTTTTGTGGCTGGCAGCTGATATATTGGACATCACAAGACATTTTTATCATTGCAGAAAGCTCAGTGAGTCAGGTCTGCTTGAGCCCTGTTTCTGAGTGACTTCCTGGGGAGCATCTCAGCAATGTCAGTGCCTGGGTCACCCTGTACCTTTTATACCAGATGCTGAAGGAATGGCCATGTGATCTGCATAGATAGAGCCCTGAGCCAGGCTCTGCTGGTTCACACCTAGCTACTCAGGAGGCTGAGATCCAAGAATCATGGTTTGAAGCCAGCCCTGGCAGGAAAGTTCATGAAACTCTTATCTCCAGTTAGCTACCAAAATGCTGGGAATGGAGCTGTGGCTCAGGTGGTAGAGAGCAATCTTTGAACAAAAATAAAGTTCAGGGATAGGACCCAGGCCATGAGTTTGCAGGACTGACACACTCAAAAATAAATTGTTCTCCTAAGGAAGTGTCAGTGGTTCATGCTTATAATTTTAGCTACTCAGAAAACTGAGATCTGAGAATGGCAGTTTGAAGCTAGCCCAGGCAGGGAAGTCCATGAGACTCTTTTATCTCCAACTAACCACTAAAAAGCCAGAAAGAGAGCTGTGGCTCAAGTGGCAGAACACCAAACTTGAGTGAAAAAGTACCTAGACCTTGAGTTCAAGCCCTAGTATTGTCACAAAAAATAAAATATAAAAGCCACTGTTCTAGAATTTTCTAAGTCCTGGATTGAGGATGAGAGACTTAGCTTGGAGCCAGAACCTCTTGGCAGGTGCTGGGACTGGGCAGGGTCTCAAATGTTCTCAGCAAGTATGCAGTGTACTTATGTACTATGTAGTGATTTGTTTACCCCTCATGTGTACACCCCCGCCTTGTTCTTCACGTTCCCACAGCCCTCTATCCATAGTGTGTATCTAAACAGCGTAGGTCTTGCAAACACAACATATGAGCACACCTTCACTCCCAAGCAGAGGCACAAGGTCCACGCCGTGTCACTACCACAAGGAAATGCCTCTTCCTGAGTGTGTCAGGCCAGAACCACCCTTTTAGCCATGAATCCTTATTCAGCTACCTCAGCTAGGGACAGAAGCCTCAGTCAAATCCTGGGCTCCTTGCTCCAGCCACAGCTCCCAAGGCTTGACCTGCTTTGTCAACAGAGAGATCTGGGGATAAGAAGGGATGGAGTATAATAAAGAAAGTGAGGACACACATCTACTTTGTTTGGTTTCTTTCCAAATCTCAGAAGTCAGTGTGCCTGACTGAGATACAGGACCATGCTGAGCTGTAGCTAATCCGTAACAGTAGTGAGCAGATTTCCAAGGCCTGGCCACAGGCTGCTGTCTCAGCACAACTGAACTCTGAGGCTCTTCTCAATCCTGGATCCTGCATACACTCTTCTCATGGTTGTGAGGGCCTGGCAGTGGGCCAAGCAGAAAACCCTGGGAGTAGCCTCATAATCCAGGGGAGGAGAGGATTAGCTGTCTTAGAAGTGGAAACTTTCCATGTGCCTGTGGCTCATGCCTGTAAACCTGTAATCCAGGCTGCTCAGGAGGCCAAGATCTGAGGATTGCAGGTTCAAAGCCATCCTGGGCAAACAAAATCTGAAAGCCTTATTTTCAATTAACCAGCAAAAAGCCAGAAGTGGAGCCTGGGGCTCAAGTGGTAGAGCATCAGCCCTGGGTAGAAAAGCTAGGGTAGAAAAGCTAAAAGATAGCACCTAGGCCCTGAGTTCAAGCCTCAGTACCAGCACACACACACAAAAGGAATGAATCTGAGAGAACCCAATAGGAAAGAAGGGTCTTGACTGGAGTCATCATGGAAAGGCTCTCCCTGATGGACAACTGTCCTCTAGGCCCAGACTTATCCCAGGCAGGGTCTCTTAGCAGTCCTGTGGCTTCCTTGTAGTTTGTCCAGGGGAACACCCACAATGATGGAAACATTTTCTGGCTGTACTGATCATGTCAGACAATTGTCACTTTCAGCAATCAGGGAAACCTGGAGATAGAGCAGGTTTTCCTTTATTTACATTTAAGTCATTGAAATATCTGGATGGGACTAGCATTACCATAGTGAATGGCACAGGCTGCCACTTTCACCCTTAGGTCCTTAGCCTTCTGACCTCTTCTCCAGCCAAGAACCTGGGCTCTTCTGGCGTCCTTCTCCTGGAGGGCCAGCTGCTTCTGCACTGGTGAGAACCCTTCCCTCCTGAACAGCAGCAAGGGCTCCTCCTTTGTAGCCAGCCTCCATACACAGCCCAGAGATCTTCCTGCTGTCCTACCTGGCATTTGTTTCCCTCTTCTCCCTCTGTTCCTCCTCACTCCCCTGGTGATCTACTTACCCTCCCTCCAGTGCCACCCTTCCAGAAAGACCAGTTTGCCTTTCTTTCTGCAACTGGTCTCCACCCCCACCACTTGCCAACGTCACTAGCAGAGCCATGTTGCCAAATCCAAGAAGGCATCTCAGCCGTGTCCTGCTTATCCTGTTGATGTCTGATACTGTTGCTCAAGGCCCAAGTCCACTTGCTCAAGGAGTCCTTCCAGTTGTGTGTTGGACATTAGCCCAGGGCTGTCTTTCCTGAGACTTGCATGTGAACTGTCTGATTCCACCTGTTATGGAGAATTCTTTCTCCCTGAAAAACAAAAATGTTTGTAGCCAGGTGCTGGTGGCTCACACCTGTAATCCTAGCCACTCATGAGGCTGAGATCTGAGGATCATAATTGAAACCTAGAGCCAGCCTGGGCAGGAACATCCATGAGACTCTAATCTCTAATTAACCACCAAAAAGCCTGGAGGAGAGCTGTGGCTCAAGTGGAAGAGCTGGCTATGCTGAGTGGGTCAGTAAGAATCCTTGCCCTCAAGGAGCTCCTACTCCAGATGGAGCACAGACTGGCAAACAGAGCTAGGTACAATATGTCCCTAGGAAGGGCTGTTAACCATGCCAGAGAGTGAGGAGTTCATGAGAAAGGTTTCCTGGCAACAGGGGCATAATTGAGACTAGGTAGGTAAGTAGGAGGTGGGCAGGCAAGTATGTAGGCTTGAATGGCCCAAGATAATGGTGAGCCACAGAGGATTCTAAGCATGAGCTGACTCGTTGTTCTTCCTTTGGTGCTGGTACTGAGGCTTGAACTCAGTACTTGGATGCTGTCCTTTAGCTTCCTCAATCAAGGCTTACTTGAGCCACAGCTCCATGTCTGACTTTTTGGTAGTTAACTGATAGCTAATTGGAGACTTTTCTACCCTGGCTGGCTTCAAACCATGATCTTCAGATCCCAGCCTTCTGAGTAGCTAGGATTACAGGCATGAGCCACTAGTGCCCATAAAATTTGTGTTTCTAAAGGAGCGTTCTGGCTTAGCAGGTGGAGAAAGGCTTGTGGGAATGGGAGGTCAAGGAGGAGCTGGTTCAGCATCTGAGAGGCCAGAGCTAAGGGAAGGGCACAGGAATAGAAGTGGGCAGATGCTGGGGCTATTTAAAAGGCAGTATGGCATGACCTGGTGCTAGGCTGGTTAGGACAGGAACGTTTGCAAGTGACTCCCAGGTTTTCTCAGGCTCTAGTTTGAGGGCAGGACACAGATCAGGTTTGGGTCAGTGATGTGGGGTTCTGCTGTGAGGACTCACAAGTGAAGAACTTAGGAAAACTGAACCACGAGTTAGTGAGCTTGCCAAGAGAGAGGTGAGGGACCGAAACGTCACTAACAACAGGCAAAAGTCATCTCATCTGTTGGCCCCTAGGTGCCTCCCGCTCAGTTAGGGGTTTTCTAACACCTGCTTATGGGGTCCTCCCCCGAACATGAATCCCATCTCACTCCAAGCACTCTGCTTCCTCCTAGTCTTCATACCCACACTCTGCAGAAGGCTAAACTCCTGGCCCTCCCATCCAAGGGCTTCCTCCTTCAGCCTGGGCCTCCATTGCTGGCCACTCACCTTGCCCCTCCCCATCACGCACAACACCTACACCCGAGGGAGGCGGCGCTCTTGCCCCTGAAGGCTGGGATGTGGAAGGTTTCCAGGGCTGTTGGGCTAAGCGGCTCCATCCTTCAGTCCCAGCTCCGGGGCCCAAGATGTGGCCTGAAGGTTTCCCCGGGTACCCCAGGCCGCCGGTTTGCACGAGCCGGCGCCGGGGGCGTGACGAGGCGCAACCCCGCCGCGGGGCCCCTCCCGAGCCACCACCCTCTGTGGCCACGCCCCCTAAAGTGGGCGGGAGTCTCGGCCTCTGATTGGCTGAATCTGGAGGGGCTGCGCGGTAGGGCCAATGAGAACGGGCCGGGTGCGGCGGCGGGTTGAGGAGGGTGGGGGCGAGCGCTGCCTGGAGCCGCGGCGCCGGCGGTCTGAGCGCGGCGATCCGGGCCCGGGTTAGGCGGGCGGGGCGGAGCCAGCCAGCGGCGCTCCCGGGGGATCGCGGGGACGGTCGGCCCGCGCTGAGGTAGGGGTCCGCGGGACAAGGTCTGGGGCGGGAGCTGGAGTACGAACGCCCGCTCTGAGCTTGCCGGGGAACCGGGCGGTCTGCGAGGCCGCGTCGGTGAGGACAGCGGGACCTGAGCGGTGCAGGGATTATCTCTGTCTGTGGGGCCGAATCCAGAGGGTCTCCGGGAGCCTGCTTCTAGTCTGTACCTGGGAGCGCACCTATGCGGGCGTCCCGCCGTCTGCATCCCTCCCCGGCTCTTGTCTGCGGGGCTGCGTCCGTACCCGGCGCACCGTCCAACGCCTCCCGGCGGAGGCCGTGTCCGTGAGGAGTGGGCCTGGTGGGTGCACCCACATGTAGCTCTCCGCGGATCGCGCCTCCTACGGTCCTCCCGAGTCCTCCTCCCGCGAGCTGGCGCGGGGGCGATGAGCGGGACGGCTGCGGCGCGCGGCTCTGGCTGCGCAGTGCGCCCGGGCCGGGGCGGAG